ATATTAAGAATATACAGATATATTAAAAGTGTAGACAAGATGATGTGGCCATCATGCACATGCATGCACATGCGCGCGCGTGCAATGTGTTTAATGACCAATATACTTAATATAGCCATAACTTTTATATTTTTTGATGAAAAGCTTTGATACTAAGAATGAACAGACATATTATAAGTGTAGACAAAATGGCATGGTCATTATGAACATGCATACAGGTGCGCGTGCGCGCAATGCTAAGATGACCAATATACTTGATATAGCCGGAACTTATATATTTTTTGATGAAATGTTTTGATACTGAGAATATAAAGATGCATTTATAGCATAGACGGAATGACATGGTCAACCTGCACATGCATGCATGCACGTGCGCGCGCGTGAAATGCGTTAAATGACCAATATACTTAATTGCCTTATTTAATGAAGCTTACAGGAAATGACACCAAAAGGGAGTTGGGGAGCGTTTGGGGAACATCTGTAACGGTCCCCGTTACAATTAATACTAGTTTAATGTAAAGTTGTAGATTGGATGTTGACCATTCCTACAATTAAAAGAAAAATGCTTGTTTTGAAAGTTTATTTTAAATGAAAGGTGCCTACACATTTTTCAAATTTGAGGGGCGAGTTCTTTTAACGATCCTTTACAAATATAGCTTGGTAAAATAAGGTGTATCGGGACATAATTTTAAGGTAAACTCAACGGAAAAACATGTTTTAAACTGTCATCTATACTATACTATATTAAAATAATAGACTCGAATTTTTGGCCTTTAATACCGATAAATCGGAAGAGTACTGTCTTTTGTTATATATTTTTTAAACATAATTGGTACTTGAAGATTACCAATTTGTTTTTATTTTTTCTCAATTAGCCTTCGCTAATTAATAATCAACGAAAATTCCACAAAAAATACCGGAAATCATCTGGATTTTTTGGATTTTACAATCTTGCGCGTGCGCATTACATTCACGCTAAATCACGGTGTTCAAATCATGAGAGAAGACAAAAGAAGTACTAAGTAGATAATAATATATTTGTTATTTTTTAATTTCTCTAATAAGAAATAAGAAAATAAGAAATCAGAAATATATATAAGAAATCATAGATATATATGAACAGAATATATAGCAAATTTCCAATGAAAATTTACACGTATTTGTATTATCTTTCTGAGTTTATCCATACAAATGTGATATTGTGGTCACGTGGGTAATCATTCGCCATCTCGGAGACACATTTATTATATGTTATTTATGTATCTGGCCATCTCAACGGGGGCAAAAAGCTCATGATCGTAGGAGCAATATTAATGTAACTACCCGATTTTATTTTATCCTTCCTTTCTTTTATGCTTTTTTGAGGGGAAGGGGGGGGGGTTACAACTCCAGCTAGAATCACATCTTAGTGAAGTAAGCATTCTTTTTCCGCCAAAAATTACAATAACATTATTTTCATTTCTTAACTTTGAAATAAATCGAAGTAATTAAATAACGTCAATATAACCGATATTTTCAATTTGAAATGTGTCTAAATGATTGCAACTTGAATTTGTTCGCCATATGTTTACTATTACCTTCACTGCTGAAATCTATAACGCGGTAAATATGAAACATAAACTAGGGGCAAAGAAATATTTGATTCCATGCAAAAAATTCACATTATATTTCTTAGAAGTGCAGTGAAATCAATAGCATTATTGTAGGTTTATAGCTTTGTTATGTAAATACATGTAATGACCTCTGACCCTGGTCTGTCAACAATACGGTGAACACCCCCTGCAATGCTTGCGCCGTGCATTTCCCACGTGAACCATCAAAGAAAGTATTTTATTGTTTATATCTAAATTCACCTCTAAAAATTTCTTTAACTTTCAAAAAAAGTGGATGAAATATGTAAATTATTGTTATTGATCTTCAGTACGTTATATAGAAGGGACAGCCTGTTCTTCTAAATATGTAAAGGTCGTCATGGTAACTACGCTTTATAGGTATCAGCAGTGCTGAACTCTTTGTTGTTGTCATATTTTCAATGAATATCCATAATTTCTTTTATTAAATTTGTTTGGAAAGGTGAAATTTATGTAAGCTCCGGCGTGATTCTAACTCATGACTTGATTTATAGCTAACTGGTGGTCAAAGCCATTCTGCGCTACGCCGTTACGCAACAATTTTGCAAAAACAAACAAACAAACAAAATCAAAAAACAAAACAAAAAAAAACAGAATTATATTCACATTCATTGTTTATCTCAAAAGTACCTTACAATATCAATGTGTCGATGTATCTATTTTGTAAATGTCCGATATGCACATGGATGCATTCATAACAATGTCAACCCGTGCACGCACGGGTCAAAGTCTAGTTTTTAATGAAAAATGAAGAAAGTCAGGTATAAATTTCAGAGTTTTTTCCATCTCAGAAAAAGGAAATGTATCAATATTGCCCCCAGTCTCTCAGAAAATGGTTTTTCATATTCTTTTTGACCTCTACTTTAAAATGATATTTAATTGAATATAGGTATCGGGGTTTCTTTTGAAATGATTTCAAATTGAATTCCATGAAAATTCTTCATTTTCTGCATAATTCTATTACAGCCATGAAGTACGGGAAAAATTAAGTTTAAATCAATTATGACGTCATAATGGATCTAGCTTCAAAAAGACAGTCTAAACTCATTTATTACATTTTCAACAGTGAAATACTGTGATTTATTTATTGAATAAAAGTGATATTCTCTCACAGTATGAAAGTATACCAAAATGATATTCTCTGACAGTGTGAAAGAATATCAAAGTAAGTAAAAAATTTCTGGCCTGTCATAAGATAGAGACAGTAACTAAGCATCTTGATAGAGCTAAAACTGCAAATTTCTTCCCAAATATGTTGCTAAAATCCATGCTATGTAATGTTTTCAATCACACAACTGCTAAGCTACGATCGACGTCTCAACCGCTCAACTATGACGTCAAGCCTATGTCACTGTGTTAAGGTAATAGAGGTGTAATACGCCATTTCCGGTAAAAATGACGGCATTTACCGAGGTGTCTGACATCGGCAGTTTTCGGAACACTGTACTTCGTAAACAAAAATGGCGTGTCGTCAAGACGGCCTCGGACGCTAACATAAAACATACACCAAAGAAAAGGAATGTAACTTAGCGGAGGAGAGAATAAATATGATATTACGTAGAAAACACGTTAATATATTTTGTTAGACAAAATATGCAGTCAAAACGATGATACCTTCAAATACACACCTCATGGGTTTTTCCAACTTCTAAAAATAGCACCAGTTTCGAAGAACGAACGAAGTGTACCTTTCTTCAAAACTTTACATTCGCATCGCAATTTCTTGTGATTCTCTCAATATCAGCAAATCGTTTGAGGGGAAAAAATGTGCGTAATAGGTAGCATTGCGTGCATTGTAGAATCTGCAATTTATAAGTGACGTTCAAATGTCCATACGTAAAATATCTGAGATCTTCAAAATATATCAGTAAAAAATAGAATGTAAATATGTTTACAACATTAAAGAAAAAAATTAATATTAGATATGGGAATAAATGATTTATTCTGGTTTGGTTTAGGGTGATTTTTGTTATTTTATTTACATTAATTTATTTATTTATTTTTCACATAAGTTTACTGTTTAGAAGGGGGGGGGGTGAATATTTTTTATTGATATTTTTTATATACATGTGGGGAACAAATTAGTTTTTTTTTTACCTTTTGATTAGTGTTTCTGTCAGTATATATTTTAGTCTACATTGCATAGTAATGTTTTGATCTGTAAAGAACTTCATGCACATGGAAGCTGCAAAAATGTAGGTCATTTTGCGAATCTTTGTCTGGATCAAGGTCACTGTGACGAGGTCAATCTTCTGAACAAATGAATCTGACTAAAGTGAAGTGTATTCAATATGACAATAACCTGTTGTTTATATATGCTCATCATTTCATTAATTATCACATATCCCATGACATTTACCAAAAATAATGGCTTAAATTTTTAGGGGTACATCACTATGATACAGAATATAGATAAATTCTGTATCATGGAATAAATTTTTGTTGTTGTTATATTATCACAAACACACCTTACACAAAATTGATATTGTTCTTTTATTGATCTTTCCTACCATATTTTTCTTTGACAGAATATTACAAACGGTTTTATGAAAAAAATCGCCAAAATTGTCACTCAAAGTAGACAGGTTCTCTCGATTACAAGTATTCATATATCATACCTGATGAATTTGAACTAAAAAGAATGCATATATGCAATCTGTACTGCTTAGTGTTGCAGCTGAATACATGAAACATTCAACTGTTTGCGACTAACTAGAGTAGAGGTAAAAATAACTTCTGTACCTTTTGTCTATTAAAGGTGCACCAGTGGTTAGAGGGTACAGGCATGAAAATAAGTATAGAAAAATTATGTTTGGACAGAATTGCCTGAAACTTTGGGAAATATTGCCTGAAGTGTTGTCCATTATAAGTAAACTGAATTTATTCATATTCAAGGTCATGACCATTACACCCCTAATACCTTAAGAAAAGACAGAGGCAAAGGGAAAATCAAAGAAAATGTAATAAACAGAAAATTCAATGTTTTGTAGATGAATATGGAATTTATTTCACTCGTGAGACAGGATTTTTTTATATTTTCACTCGTGCTTCGCACTCGTGAAAATATAAAAAAAATCCTGTCCCACTCGTGAAATAAATTCCATATTCACCTACAAAACATTGAATATCCTCTATTTACTAGATCTTGACCTTAAGGGGATGAAGGACACATGGTCACATGACTCTGTTTCACTACGTCATAGTCTCCGTTTTTATAAGTGCAAAGCGTGTAAAGCATCGGTTCTTGTATAAAATTTTGACATTTTTTTTTTACTTTAATTACCGAAAGAGAAATTTGAGTTATTTAATGTACAACTTATCTGTAGACCATTACATTAATGTACAACTTATTTGTAGACCATTACACCGGAAGTCAGGAGACATCAGCGGTCACTGGTCAGCATGGCTCGATACATACACAAAATAATCAATTTTCAAGGTAGTTTAACGCTTACTTATATGTCAAAGATTACCGGAAATAAATATTTGAAGGAATCTGTTAGAAAGTTCTCTTGTACGTTCATAAACTTCGAAAAACCGTTTTGCAATGTTGGAACGATAGGTCATGTTGATCACGGAAAAACAACTCTTACCGCCGCAATGACAAAAATCTTATCGGAAGAACTAGGGACAACCAAAGCTGTGAAATTCGACGAAATCGACAAAGCACCAGAGGAGAAGAAAAGAGGTATTACCATAAATGCCGCACATATTGCTTATGAATCAAACAAAAGACGGTATGCTCACACTGACTGTCCAGGCCACATAGACTTCATAAAGAATATGATCACAGGAACAGCTCAGATGGATGGTGCTATTCTTGTAGTAGCTGCAACAGAAGGAACTATGCCACAAACTCGAGAACATGTGTTACTTGCCAAACAAATTGGAGTCAAACATCTAGTGGTGTACATCAATAAAGTTGATGCTGCAGATGAAGAAATGGCAGAGCTTTGTGAAATTGAAGTCCGAATGTTATTGGATGAATATGGATATAATGGATCAGAAGTCCCTGTGGTATGGGGATCTGCACTATGTGCATTGAATGGGGAAAATGATAAGCTTGGGAAAGAATCTATTTTAAAGTTAGTCAATACACTTGATGAGTATGTGCCAATACCAGAACGAAATTTGTCAGCTCCATTTGTTTTTCCCATTGAGACAGCCGTGAAAATTCCAAGTCGTGGTACAGTTGTCGTTGGAACTTTAAAAGAAGGTGTTATTAATAAAGGTGATGCTGCTGAAATCATTGGACAGGGAGTCTCCGTTCTGACATCAGTTACTGACATTGAAGTGTTTCATGAATCAGTACCAAAACTTGTGGCAGGTCAAAATGCAGGGATTCTTTTGAAAGCTGTAAAACAGACTAACATTACTCGTGGTATGTTCTTAGTAAAACCTCACACAGCCAGTCAGCATACTTATTTCGCAGCTAAAATTTATGTACAGACTAAAGAGGAAGGAGGACGTACCAAGCCACTCAGAAATGAGTATCAACAGCAACTATTTTGTTCATTGTGGTCCATGGGATGTATCGTTTACTTGCCAGAAGATTTACCTATGATCATGCCAGGGGACACTGCAGATGTCAAAATATTGTTACGTCAACCCATGATTTTAAAGGCTGGACAACAGTTCACTATCCGTGAAAATCAAATATCATCTGTGACTGGAATTGTGACAGAAATCTTACCTTCTCTTAATGTTGAAATTAAAGGGTTTACATACCTTAAGCCCCAAGCCCCAGTAAAAATAGAAGGAAAGAGAAAAAGGAAATAATGAAAATAGAAAATTTTGTTTTGTGTCAGAGTTGTAATTTTTAGGTCACCTGAGCCGAAGGCTCAAGTGAGCTTTTCTGATCACACTTTGTCCAGCGTCCGTCTGTCTGTCTGTAAACTTTTCACATTTTTGACTTCTTCTCAAGAACCACTGGGCCAAATTCAAACAAACTTGCCACAAAGTATCCTTGAGTGAAGGGGATTCAAATTTATTTAAATGAAGGGCCATGCCCTCTTTCAAGGGGAGATAATTAGGAATTAGTGAAAAAATAATGGCATCATTTAAAAATCTTCTCAAGAACCACTTGGCCAGGAAAGATGAAACTTATATTGAAACATCCTCAGGTAGCGTAGATTAAAATTTATTCAAATCATGACCCCCGGGGGTAGGGTGGGGCCACAATGGGGGAGCAAAGTTTTACATAGAAATATATAGGAAAATATCTTTAAAAATCTTCTTCTTAAGAACAGCAAAGCCATGATTGGTCATATTTATATGGAAGCATCCTCAGGTAGTGTAGATTCAAGTTTGTTCAAATCATGACCCACAGGGGTAGGGTGTGGCCACAATGGGTGATCAATGTTTTACAAAGGAATACAAAGGGAAAATCTTTAAAAATCCTCTCCTCAAGACAGCAAAGCCATGATTGGTCACATTTATATGGAAGCATCCTCAAGTAGTGTAGATTCAAGTTTGTTCAAATCATGACCCCAGGGGGTAGGGTGGGGCCACAGTGGGAGATCAATGTTTTACATAGAAATACATAGGGAAAATCTTTAAGAATCCTCTTCTCAAGAACAGCAAAGCCATGATTGGTCATATTTATATGGAAGCATCCTCAGGTAGTGTAAGATCAAATTTGTTCAAATCATGACCCCCTGAGGTAGGGTGGAGCCACAGTGGGCGATCAAAGTTTTACATAGGAATGCATAGGGAAAATCTTTAAAAATCTTATCTCAAGAACAACAAAGCCATGATTGGTCATATTTATATGGAAGCATCCTCAGATAGTGTAGATTCAAGTTTGTTCAAATCATGACCTCCTGAGGTAGGGTGGGATCACAGTGGGCAATCAAAGTTTTACGTAGGAAAACAGAAGAAAAGATCATTAAAAATCTTATTCTCAAGAACAGCAAAGCCTTGATTGGTCATTATAAAATAAAAGCATCCTCATGAAGATTCAAATTTGTTCAAGTCATGACCCCCAGAGTATAGAGGGGCCATTACAGGGGATCATAGTTGTACAAAGGAATAAAAAGGATATATCAATTAAAAATTCTTTAAGAACAGCAAAGCCATTTTAGTCATATTAATTCAAAAGCATCCTTAGGTGGTGTAGATTGAAGTTCATTCAAATTGTAATACCCCCCCACCCTCCCCCCAACCACTTTTATATTTAAACTTTTCATAGGATTGAGCCAATTCAGGGGATCAAAGTTTGACATAGGAATATGTAGGAGAAAATATTTCAAAACTTTCTCAATAACAAAGTCATGGTTAGTAATATTGATATGGAAGCATTCTCAAGTAGTGTAGAAATCACGACCCCTGGTGGTAGGGTGGAGCAACAATGATGGATCAATGTTTTACATAGGAATATATAGGAAATATCTTTAAAAATCATCTTCTCATAACCAGCAAAACATGATTTTATAGTCATATAGTACAGAGGCATGCCCTTTTTTTTCAAAAGGCTTAATACTCTTTTTGAAAGTTTAATTTTCGTTTTGAATTAAGGCCTTTTATGGCATTAATACGCTTTTTTGATTCGCGTTATTATGCCTATTTTGTGTTATAATGCCATTTTACTTTGCGTTATTACGCCTTTTACTAGTATCTTGTTATAAATAAGGCTTTTATATGATTAATAGTGAACCGAAACTCTAAATTAGCAGATAACTGCAATATATTGGTATGATATTTGATATTTTTATTTTGGACTGTGAGATCCGCATCATTCAGCGAAATCAGATTTTGACTTGAATAATTTGGGACCAAATATCCTTATATTGCCTAGAACATGCACATCAGAATTATCATACCAATTGGCTAGAAAATGAATGGAACTTACCACCATTTTCATTGACTTTGGAATGATTTTGTTCACGTAAACACTATTCACAACATTTAAGTTTTGTTTTTTTTTTTGGGGGGGGGGATTCTATAAACAAATCATAAGAATGAAGAACCAAAGGGTAACTGCAAACAAAACACATTGCAACGATTCAAGAAAGACCCTTTCTGTAATTGTTTCATCTCCAGCTGTATTGTTATTGGTGTCGTTTGAAATTCACCGAGTAAAATTCTTATGAGGAGCTCAATTGACATATAAATCTCTCTCTCTCAAACTTCTTTACGCTTAGAATGTGTTCTATGCAACAAGTACGTATATAACTTTTAATTACAGATTTTCATACAATTTTGATGTTTAATATAATGTTATTTTCTGCCAGGACTCCAATTTACTCCAGTTACAGGTTGATTTTTTGGAATCTCCATTTACATGTTGGTTTGCAGATATTTACTCCATTTACAAGTTGATTTCTAGGTCTGGACTTGTACTTGCACTGACGTCACTTTCAACCCAGCTTACATGTATCCCCGGGTCTTGCAAGCCTCGTCCCTTTGAAAAAAAAAATACATTTAAAAAAAAATATAGATTAATTAAATGTTATTAAATTGTAGAAGATATAAATACCACATGGAAGGTACTATATATAAATACCTTGACGGGTGGAGCCTTTCTGAATTCAAAATACATCAGCCAAAGATACGCCAGCTCCATTAATACGAGAGACACCAGTCCCTATAGGAGTTGATTAAAAAAAATAGATTTGCGAGTTTTAAAACCGCTTTCTGCAATAACATGATTTACAGCAATAAACAGTAATTGACAATAACTCAGCACCAGGTTTAGCATCATCCATGGCTTATGATTGCTCCGCATGACAAAAACCACTATGGTTGGCTTCAGGAAGTAAATTCTACAACCTCCGTATCTGAGAAACCATGTTTTATATATATATAATGGCCATATGTCAGTACACCAATTGGTTATCCAACATTTCTTCGTTGCTAGCTAATTTTTCCGCAAATTTTTAACACAGGCCCCTAGAACCCGGGGGGGGGGGGGGGCACTTTTTTTCTGAGTATAGTATTTTTGCTATTGTAAATTTTCCTTTACATGCTGGTTGTCTCCCCCCTTTTTGTTTGATGTTGTAAGGTCTAGCACTGGCAAATTCCAGGATTTGGGCAGTAAATAACTTTTTGCTTGTCAGATTTTTTTTGGAAATTGCCCCCCTTCTGAAACTGTTGCTACGTGCCTGTAACATATTTGTCCTAAAAGCTCTAGGTTATACTTATGTGTTACAGACTCGACCTTGCTCAATTCTTCTTTTCGAAAAACCCGCAAAGAAAATGTACGAAAGCCTATTAGGATCAAACTACGGTAAAAAAAATTTAAAAGGTGGCGTAATTACGCCTTTTTCGCGTTATAACGCCTTTTGAAAAGGCGTAATTACGCCTTTATTTGCGTTATTACGCCTTTTCCCGCGTTATAACGCCTTTTGAAAAGGCGTTATTACGCCTTTTTTCGCGTTATAACGCCTTTTCAAAAGGCGTTACAGGGATCGACATTAACGGTTGTCCGATTGCCCGGGACAAGTAAATCTTCATTTCGGGCAAGTGAAACTGTCAACGTACTTGTCCGATCGGGCAAGTGAATTTTTCTCATAGAAATGTACATATTTAGTCAGTTTACATTAATTTATGAATAAAACAATAATAAATTAAATACTTGATTTCCGCCAGATACCTGCATGACTGTCATTGATTTACATTAGGAAATCCTGGTAGCGTTTCTAGAATATACCGTTACGGACCATTTAAAAATCGGGTTCATTATTCTGTTTTCTTTCGTGAGAAATACGCTCTACTTATAACAAATTTGTTAACTTCTAATTAGGAAATTCATTCACAGAATATAAGTAACACGATGTATCCCAATCCAGATATGTATGTTTCATAGCAATTGTCTTCCTTTACTGTTGCTTGTTATCTCTGAAAATCACGATTCACAAAAGGATTCTACGGAAATTAATTTTTAAAAATATGAAGTTTATTAAAAGAAAACGGAGGGATAATGCTGCATGGCAGTGTGTTAGCATATTAAATTGACAAGGACAGTGATACACATGTACAAACGAAGCATCGAAATTACTTTTTTATGTAGCTCAACTTGCCAAGTTGACAGTAGTGTATTTGGTCACATTTTTTCTTCTCAGTTTATAGTAATAAATAATATTTTTCTTCCCTAATTTTGGGCAACCAAGTTTTGCATTCGGACAAGTCCAAGTCTGAGATCACTTGCCCAAAGGACAAGTGAATCTAAAAGTTAATGTCTATGGCGTTATAACGCCTTTTAATTTTTTTTTTTTTACCGTAGTTTGATCCTAATAGGCTTTCGTAAAAATGTAAGTCGCGCGAGAAAATATAAAGTTGAATCAGAATTAGTATGCTAATAAAAAAAAAAATGGTCGAATTTGCATGGGCTTTTTCAATCAAATGCGAGGAAAGTATTAAAAGATCTTCCGTTTTTCCCCCCATTAAAACATTGTTCACTCTTTAACAGTTTTCAAGTATTCTGTCCTGGCTAAACATTTTGTGGAAATTAATCCCGACAATAATTTTTAGAATGATTTTTTTTCGGTAGCGCATTAAATATCTAAGGAAATGCCGCATACCCTTTTTAAGAATGTTCCTCAATTTTTTCAACAAAAGTATACGCAGATTGAAGACTGAAACGTTATGTCGTTTGAACCAAATTAAATTTCTTTGTAGCGTAGCAAAACAGTTTTAACAGGCGATTTTTGCTTGATTGTAAAGAAATATTTTAACCCAGCCCCCCCCCCCCCCCCGGGTGAATTCGTTCCTGATTTTAATTTTTTTTAACTTTATTTATTTTTTTTTAAAGATTTTTTTTAATAAATGTTATGAATACTTGGCAAATATCTCTTTTTTAAAAAAAATTGTAAAAAATGTTTATAAAACTCACAATGATGATCCTGATGTCGAATGGGTTTGAACACTTTGTATCTCTATCACAACCTGCAAAATCTGCTAGTGAAACAACATCCCAAAGGGATACTTCTGGTTCACTGCTGAAAGTATATAATGATTTGAAGATATTTAATTATAACAGTGAAAGACAAAAAAGTGCTTTGTGCAGCTAGGACATAGCTATAGGTATTCTCTTTAGAGAACTGGACAGGCTTTCGCCTACATCCACTGGATGTAGGCGATGGCCTGTCAACTTCTCTAAAGAGAATAAGCTATTGACTATTATAAGCCACGCTGTAAACATATGTGCACTCTACAATGATAGATCTATAAAATTTTCAAGATACGATTCTCAATTACAGGACAAAGGTCAATATGTTATACTCTAAAATGAATATAAAGCATCTAAAGAGTTTCAAATTTCATAGAGATAACTAGCATTGAGATGATCATAAGTTCTTTTGAGTCCCAGCTTTCTCCATGCCCGTTTCCAACACATAAAATTTGCCTTTAACATTTACTTCGTGCATACGACCACAAGTACTGTACATACGTCATGACATGTACCTACCAGTTCAGAAATTCATACAGAGGATGAAGTAAAGCAGGCATTATCGCAAGTTTAGAAGCCGAATAGCTAAAAATCCTGAAAGACTTCAAAAATTTCATTGTTTCTGTTCCCTTATTGTGACGTCAATCATTCCCTTATTGTGACGTTAATCAGCAGTGATCAGTAGCACCGTTTTTATTTTAATTTTTATTTTAAAATAAAAATAAAATGATAAAAATGTAAAGAGTCTTTTTATAAATAATTTCCTATATATCATAATGATTAAAACAAATAATGATTTAATTATATATTTGATAAACATTTTTTTTTATTATTGTAATCATGGTAATCAAATTTTAATTTCGGAATAGGACTTTGTTGGTCTGAATTTTATAATGAATTGTCCAAACCCGATGTAAATTATGAAGGGAAGACGGGAAGTGTCTGACTGTCTGATCTGTGTCATGTCACAAAGCTCTCACATTATAATTGTGTTCAGTTTGGAGTCTAAGTACTGAGACAGAGAGTTTAAGAATCCGATTGAATTTTCACCGGTTGTGTGAACAACGAAAGTTACATTAGATAATTATACAAGGTAATCAATATTACTAAATTCACCCCCCTCGGCAAGCATGAAACACTGGAGGAAATTCGAACTTTTGAAATACTCATTTTTGATTGTAAGCAGTTAAATCCTCGTTGGAATGTTTTACGGTAAATAGGTTTTGGCTTCTTGTATGTTAAAGTATTTATTGAATTAGACTGTACAAAAACCACTATTCCACCTACTATTTGCTCATTGAAAACTTACAATGCAAGATTTAGTATCAAAAATGGACAAAAACAACTTGTTCCATATTTGTTGCTTTTATTTATAGTGTATGTTTTTCGTATGTAAAATCTGGGCCAAAAGTTTAAATTGATCTCTTATTTAAAATTAGGAGATCCAAGGGGCACCTGAAGGTATTTTAACATTTGTGAAGCTTGATGTTTCTCAAACGAAAATATTTTTTAACAAACTACTCATAAAACATCAACAAACTACCAACAAAATATTCTTTCATTATTTGTTAAAGTAGTTTGATAGTATAGCATTTAATGAAACTCTAACAAAACACTGTTTCTAAAAATAACTAAAGTGGTTTGTTAGTCTTTCATTTCTGCTGATTGTGATTTCTTTTAGTTTGTTAGACTTGGTATCTTGCATCAGTGTTTTCTAAGTAATAGTATAGCATTTGCATCTAACCACATGGGAAATTACTCATGGCTTTGAATTAGAAATAAATAAATTCTTTCCTGTCACCATTGTGTTTATGCAATCCTTTTTTGTATTGTTAATCTTTAATTTGTAGATCTGATATGGGGGAGAAGGAAAGGAAAAGACAAGAGTTTATAGAGGAGACTAAGACATTCTTGCAGACTTGCCAGAACACATTCAGTAATATCCTGCAACAAATGGACTGGTCACCTTCCCATTTTATACAGGTACTAAATATAATTCTTATCCAGCTTTTTTTTAAACCAGTTTGAAAAGTCAATATATTCATTTGCCCATACTTTAATTATCATTATTTAATATTTTAATCAAGCAAAAGGAGATGGGAGTTTGCTGCTATGACCCAGGGCATATAATGAGTAAAGAGGAACTGAAGAAACACGAGCCGATATGTAGATTTACCTCTAGAGGGGTCCCAAAAACAGAGGCTCTGGTAATATGTGTATACTCTTGTTAAACCTGGAAGTGATAAGTATATGTAAAAAAAATCTTTATTATTTGAGTAAATAATATATTTGAGACCAGGTCACTGATATGAATGACAATCTTGTAAGTTAAACCATTAAGTATTAAAGTAAGAGAAAAAGAGAAAAAATCATTTTAAAAAATAGACTAAGTTGCTTAATACAGATGAAAATCAAAAGAATTTATGTATTATATGTGATGATGTTTTTGATTTGACATTACTAATTTTTTTACAGTGTGTAAAATATTTTGTAGGATGAATCAAAGAAAACATCACAGTTTTTCTACAGGAATATAAACAGTGTCTGCAATGTTCCTATTGGTATGCATCAGTTTATCATCTAGCATTTGTTCAACATTAGAAATGTTTGGTTTCCATGCCAATCCTCCAATAAATCCTCTCTTCTTTAGTTGCGATAACTTATAAAAAAAAAACAACAATGAATTGTAGACAAGGAGACGTTAAACAAAGTGCTGTGGGAGCATCATGTGACAAACCACTCAAGTAAGAAAGAAGTGTATTCTATTTTTGATGGTGATCTTTTTGTAATTACTTTACAAGAACAGAACAAGGTTATTATCACAGTACTGGTAATATACACATTATTTTCTGTAAGGATTTATCACATGAACAGGCTGACCATACCTTGGTTTTCAATTATTGTTTATCAAAAAAAAAAAAAAATAAATATAATAAATAAATAAGTAAATACTCATGGTACAACAGTACCATCTAAGGATATATATATATATATATATATATATATATATATATATATATATATATATATATATATATATATATCAGTATTTGTATTTCATGTGCAGTTTTTTATGGCAAGAGTGAAGTCCCTTTGACAACTGAGGAGGAAACCATTTTGCTTACCCCAAGTGAACGTGGTGCCCTTCATAGCTATATAATAAACAGAGCCAAAGAGCAAAGAAATATTCAAGGACTGGAAACAGATACTCTGCTGACAGCAGATTTTCAAGAAATTGTTAAAAAGAAAGCTTTAGGTAATAGAAAAAAATCTGTTGAGATGTCAAGTACATCAAGTTTGATATATGATGCATCTTTCAGTAAAGTAAGGTTTTATTTAAGATTTTTTGAGAAAAGATACATGGTGATGTGTCTGTCACCATTAACTAAATATTCTAAATGTTTTGCAGAGGGACAGAATAGTAAGCCTACAAGTTATACAGAGTATCTGAAGGCTATGAGAGACTACAAGAGAAGGAGGCAGTCATACAGAGCAAAAAATGTACACATCACGAGGAAATCTTATACAGAGGTACCTGTAATCTCCAGACTCATTTGTGTTAGAGTAGTTGTTGCATAGAAGTATGGGGTTTTTTTTAACTATCCTTTAAATATTACAATCATGTGACATCTCCATGAGTTGGCTATTAAGCTGTTCTTTTACATATATGCTGTTTTGATGAAAATTTCTTTGCATGTATTTTTATTATTTAGATCATCAAGGAAGTGATTGAAAATCAAACAGAATATCTCACAGAGATATTAAAACAAGATCAGCAATGTGACCAACAAGTCACGGAAAGACACACATTGACAGAGCATACAAAGGACTTTGAGGACACTGTAACAGTTACAGAAAAGATTGATGGAAAACAAAATGCTGATGTCCAACAAAAAGACGAAGACAGAAGAAGAAGACTTGATACATCTTATCACAGAAATAAACACAGGAGCAGAAGTCGTGAAAAAAGTAGACACAGAGAAAGGGACATGAAGCATGATAAGGACAGGGAAAGAAACAGAAGCAGAAGCCGAGAGCATAGAAGCAGAAGCCGAGAGCATAGAAGCAGAGAGCATAGAAGCAGAAGCCGAGAGCATAGAAGCAGAGAGCATAGCAGAGATAAACATAAACACAAGCATAAACACAAGCACAAACACAAAAAATCTGAACACTGATATTACTTTTGATTATTTTTTTCATGCTTGTTTATGTTTATCAGTCTACATTGTGTTTTGCTGATAAAACTGGAACCTGAATTTATTTATTGTGCTTTTATTTAAAAAGTAAAATACAAGTAAAGGATGTAAGATTTAGCAAAAGAATGCATTACATGTATTAATAAGTTAATTCAAAGAATGCATGGCAGCTAAATAATGGATTTAGGTGAAATGAATGCTATTAATAAAATCTGAAGGGAAAAAAATCCCAGTAGATGGTTTATTTTATTTTTTCCGCTCATCTGTTTAAAAATTTTCATTGCAACTGAAAATCACAGGTACTTATGAATAGTAAAAGCCCACCCACCCACAGAATATACAACCCCTTGGATTGGACTTTTTTGATAAATTATTATTTATTCTTTTCATTTATGTATACAATAGGAGAATCTGGACCCCCCACCCCACCCCCCATAAAAATTCTCGACCATACGTATAATAAGAGAGAAGAAAATAAAGTCCTTAAAGCCCATGGGTTGAATATAAAGGGATGGGGAGGGAGGAGATATCCACAAGTACCTTTGGTGAAAGGTTATAATTTTTAGGTACATGGAACAATGACAATCAAAATTTCCAGACTTGACTACAAAACCCTAAAATGTTGTGCCAAACGGTCTGGTTGGAAGTTTAGAGAAATATTCTACGTTGCTAATGCGTTGAGAAGGGGGGGGGGGGGTGAGAGTACTTAAAGAAGGGTTAGTGGATAAATAGGGATATCAAAATATTTATTTTCTTTAATCGATTATTCGATTGTATTATTCGAACGATAGTAGAATATTCGGAACATTTTCTGAAAATAAAATTTTATTTCAAACTTCACTGATACATGACGTATTTACAACTCTATAACCCTTTTACCAGTTTACTGAAATCTATTTAAAAAGTAATTTAATCACAATTAATGCAACGTAACCTGTGGATAGCATGATTATATGAAATAAATTTAGAAACCTAATTCTTCAAAATGTATGATTTCGCCGTCAATCGGTCTGCACATGTAGTCAGTTTTTATTTTAGTAAGCATAAAAAAAATTGCCAGTCGATATTTTTTAAAGCTTATTATGATTTTTTTTGTGGGGGGGGGGGGGGGATCTCACTATCCACACGTCAGTTGCGGACCCCCGAACCCCCTCCCCCCCCCCCCTCTCTCTCTCTAGATCCGCGTATGCCGGCCAGCCACAAGGATGGATATGGGATATGGAAAAAAATCGAGAAATATGGGCAAAATCTGTGTCATCCTCGAATACATGTACTAGTACTCACGGAAGATCTCGACACTCAGGTGATGAGTAAAAGACGAGACCCTTGGCTATTCGACGATGAATATACATTTCAAATCAAATCATATGTAGATACGGCCAAAGCATCTCGAGATTTTTATTTTATTTTGTTCTGGTTTAGGTCTTATTTTGTCACATTTTTGGATATAAAATTATTTACACATGAATAATGTTTACGGGTGTAATTGCATTTTTGTTTTTGTTAAAATGTTCTCTATTTTTCATGATTTTCACCCAATCCCATACATCAAAAATAGTCCGCCGTTTTAAGACCAAGGTATATTACAGGCCCGTAGAACGCGGGGGGGGGGGGCTTTTTACTGAGTATAGTATTTTGCTATAGTAAATTTTCCCATAGATTCTGGTTGCCCCCATCCAACCCCCCACCCACATTTTTGTTGCTCTAAGGTGAGATAATTAATTAGGTTTTTCTTCTTCTTCTTTTTTGCCCCCCCCCCCCCTTTTGAATCTGTTGCTACGGGCCTGTATTATTTAACTGACATAATTTTTAATTTCCATGCACTATTAAAAACAAACGAAAGGGAAAACGACAGTTTTTTAAAATTGTTTTTTACTATATCAATTTCTGCAGTACTAGCTTTACCAGTGTTTACCGCTTTTGTGTAGGTGACAAGTCTAGTTTATTGTATTATATAAAACTACATATTGCCCCTTTGCAAAAATTAAGTGAAAACAATTTTTTTAATTGTACATTAAAAAGGAATTACATAATATTTTTAAAAGATTTTGGAAAGATATTTAGAAGGATTTGGTAAATTAAGTACATATTTTAAGTATAAAAAGGTCATTCAATTTTGAAAAATACTTAAATATAAAAAAAAAAAAACCCGGGACAATCGAATATTATAATTCTCACAAAATTCAGAATTAGTAATCATTGCTTAAGGGTAGAAACGGGCAAATATGAAAGGAAACTTAATAAATGTGGTAAAAATGGAATTCTTCATAGGTGTAATTTAAGAGTCAGTCATTAGATCTATTGTACCTCAAGTCCAACTGAGAATGAGATACCTTTTTTGCTAGAATGTCCACTGTATAATGATTGCAGAGGAGAGTTTTTAAATAAAATCTTTAAAATTTTAATACTGCTTAATAATATTGACCTGTTTACATGGATTATGTCAAATGAAGATTCTGAGTTTGTTGTTTTATTATGCCAACGTTTAAATGCAAATTTCAATATGAGAAAACAATATAGTACAATATAGGCATTACAGTCAATTGTACATATACTATTTGTATACATTTTATGCATCCTAAAAGTTGACAGCTAACTCTCTGTTCAGTATACAATTGTTTGTTATTTATAACTATGATTTCGGACATTGTTCATCTTTATTCTCCACTGCAGGCCCAAATTGGTTAAATAAATATTCTATTCTATTCTGTACAACATTGTTGATATGTATATATTGGTGTATGTAGATCTATATTCTAACATTGCAAATGTGTCCAATATCAATGTTGCGGAGGAAAATCCACAATGCAGGACAGTCGGGCTTCTTCAGTACTAGATTTACCGCCTGCCAACTTCGTTATCAAAGTTTCACCACTTCCGGCCAATACATTGTGCAATTTTATGACCTAATTCAGCTTTCTGAAAACAGTATATATAGGACGACATATTTAGAAGCAAAACCACAGCCCTTTGGGCGTTCATCGTACCAGACCAACCTTCCTAAAACTAAGTTTTCTTTCATCACTGAGTGTAAGCTCACCTGTCGAGCTTGCACACGTCGCTTCAAAACTTGATAGGCTTGTATCAACTGTGTTCGGCGGAGGTTACAGTAAAAACTCATCGCTTTCCATTACACTGTTGGAAGTAATCTCGATTTGTGGTAAGGAATTTACAACAAACCTGTTCTACGGGCAAAACTCTTCATCTGAGGTCGGTTATCGTAGTATGCTAAATAGATCAAAACCAATTTGCCAGTATTTTAACACAAAAAGTGGTTGTAAATTCAAAGAGAACTGTAAATTTTTGCATTCTCCTTCAACAAGTATTTCTAGTCCATCAATACCAGATTATCAAGAAAATGGAACGCCAGTAAACGAGCATTTAGAAGCCGACCCTCTTTCTACTACTGTTTCTCAGCTGTCTTTAAGAAATCAGAATCATGAGACGGTAAACAAGGAAAAAGACACAACACAAAAACTCTGTTTCAGTTTTGAAAAACATGGAAATTGCAGATATGGGAATAAGTGTCGTTTTCTTCATGCATTGCCAAAGAAAACACATTTTAAGGTACAAAAATCTGACAGAAGTTTGAAATCGGAGAGAAAACATGAGAATGATTCTAGTAAGAGAAATGAAAATCAGCAGATCCAAGGAAGAAAGAGAACCTGTCACTACTATCTGGCAGGTCATTGCCAGAAGGGAGCTGATTGCAGATTTTATCATTCAGATGAAGTTGGTGAAGGAGATATTTCGGATGCCATAATAGCAGAGGATGGGAAACAAGCAAAGAAAGAAGAAGATGGTTATAATAAAGGAGTATTAGCAGGCCACACCAATGACAGAAAGGAACCAAAAAAGGTTACACCAGGATCTGGCCAGAGAAAAGTGGTACCCAGACCAGTCCAGCCAGTGAAGGAATTTAAGAGAGATAGTTTAACTAAAAAAGAGGTTGAACAACTCCGATTGACAGAAATTGAACAACTGAAAAAGAGGCTTGCATCATCTAATTTAGAAGTCATTACTGACAGCAAAGACAACTTCTGTATCCAGTTTGACTTTTCATCTAGTGACCCAGACTGGGTAAGATTTTAATAAGTGCATTTATAATTAAAATTCTGTGAAACTGAGGTTGCTTACTGAATAAGATTTTCCTACACATAAGCTTTTCAAACATGTTCTTATGTAATTTTGAAATGTCTATTTTTTTTTTTAGCCATATGATGTGGAAGTATTCAATTTGCAAGTCATGATACCACAGGAATACCCACTGGAGGTAACTTACATTTATAGTTTCAGACCTTTATGGTATTGCAATAAGCACAATGATGAATAAGATGTGCTTTTGAAACTTTTGCTGGAAAACAATACTCTTGTTTTTGTAGATGTTTGTTGTTAGACTACCTGATGAACAGAATTTACCAGAGACAGTACGAAGGTAAATTTCAACATTGTGTAATTTGATGGTAATATATACTGACAGTACAAAGTATTCTTGTTTTCATATACAATATTTACAATTTTAATCCATGCTTTAAGACTTATGTGGAATTGGAATGTAAACAGTAATGTTTGTAAACTATTTTATTTAGGTACATAGAAGCATCTCTAGAAGACTGGGTAAATACGAAACAGGCAGAGTTGATAAGTGCCGGAATTGTTAGACTGGAGTTTCGACCTTTTCTGAAATGGCTGGACAGGAGTCTGGAATCTATTGTTACAGGTGCTCTAAAACAGGTTAGTAATCTTAAAAATGTATGCAATTAATATATACTCTCATATAACTTCAAATTTCTGTAGAAGTCCTCCTTTTATAAAAAGATGTATTTTTGTGATCTGTATGGTGTAAAAATATTTTTTAAAGATGGAAGTAATAAAATCTAGGTTTTAAAGGAGTGACGATTTCTTAAAAATAATTTCAGTTAAAGAAGGAGCTGGAAGCCAAAGCAGCAGGACTACAGTTTATTCCAGCATCCAAACTACAAGAAAAAGTAAAAGCAGCAGTAAGTGATGATGATGAGGAGGGGAATGAGGAGGAGGAGGAAGAGGAGGGTGAGGATGAAAGCAATATGTTTCAAGGAGTTGCCTACAGAAAGACAGATGATGACCTAGTTTATACAGGTAAGTGTGAAGTGTTTTATGTACAGGAATAATTCATTCAGTCTTGATGAGACAAGATTTTCATTGAGTAATGCCCCTTTATATACTTTGCCCATTGATGATTAACCATTGTAATTTCGAAATGTCTTGCAGGTCCACAGCAAGATGATGAATCTTCATCAGATGAGGATGATGATTTGATTGAGTCTGCCATAACTGAAAACAAACCAGAAAAAGATGAAAGACGGGGCACAGAAATAAAGCTGAGGAATCTGACACTGAAAGACAATGCCTCTACACTTACCTGCTGTAGTCTGAAAATCATCATTCAATGTGCACGCTGCAAAAACAAGATGGATGTCAGCACACCCTCAGGGAGGCCTAACCTGGTGACTTGTTTAAAATGCAGCTACCCTCAGGTTTTGACCTTCCGTTCAGCAATCATGCATCAGTTCTCGTCTGTAGTTGGCTATCTGGATTTAGATGGCTGTCTTCCATTTGATGTCATTCTTCAGGACTGTATGTTTAAGCTAGGATGCTTCAGCTGCAACAAAGAAATGAAAGCCAAGGTATATTTTATAGAAAAAAATGTTAACTGTAGATAAATTTGTAAATTTATTGAAGGCAAAAGAAAAAATAAAAGAAGATCTTTTAGTTCTGTCTTCAATATCCTGTTTGTGTTTATGCCAACTTAATTTTTCATGAAATAGAGTATGGCTTTTGGACAAGTTACAGAGACGTGGTGCTCTACATGTCATGGAAAAATGAAAGTGTCAGCAGAGTCTGTCAAGTTTGCCCAGCTTCTTCCTTCAGAGCCAGAAACAGGTATCACTTTACAGCTTGCTGATTAGCTGACTGTAGATACAGTCAAACCTCATTATCTTGAACTAGATGTAGCTGAGAAAAAAATTCAATATACATGTTTTTGAGGATTTGAGATGTTGAGGTTAGAATACATAAAGAAAAAGTGGTTGGAACTTTCAACTCACTTCAGCACGCCTATGTTTTCGATACCTAAGTTTAACTGTGTTTTAGAGGCTTATTTGTGTATTCTCCATCGAAATGTTTGGATTACATTTTCAGATGAGAAGAGTTTGCATAAAGTACCAGTCTTAAAACCAAAGAAAAATTTGAAAGAACCGGAGATCCAATTAGGTCGCCCTCTGCCTGATGATGGGACATGTAAACATTACAAGAAAAGTTATCGATGGTTCAGGTAGATTAATTTTCAGAATTACATACCTTTATTTTTAGCAATGATTAGTCCTGTAACATCTATAGAGGACAATAGAACTTAAATCTTACTAACATGGACCTGTTCTTCTTTTAGGTTTCCCTGCTGTGGTAAGTGTTACCCATGTGACATCTGCCATGAGATGAAGGAAGGGGATCACGAGATGCTGCTTGCCACCAGAATGATTTGTGGACATTGTTGTAAAGAACAGCCTTTTGCACTGGATAAAGCCTGTGTGGCATGCAAGAAGTCAATGACTCAAGTCCGCACCGCATTCTGGGAAGGGGGAAAAGGATGCAGAGACAAGACTAGAATGAGCAGGCAAGTACTGTTCTAAATATACGTGTACATTTAACAATGAATGATAATTTGAGAAAAAATATTTGTCAAGGAATATTTCATTTTATAGTTGAAATATTTATTTTAGGAATGATGTTCAAAAATATGCTGGACAATCAAAAACTGTATCGAGAAAGGCTCAAGAGAAATTGAAGTCATCGACATCAAAGAAAAACATCAAGCTTCGCCACAGCAGCAACTAATACAATAAAGGAATTTCTTTTAAACCTGATGTACATGAGTAAAATTTCAGTAAAGTGCTTTGAAAGAAGATTTTACTTTATCTGTATAATGTCATGCATGCTATCATGTGACATGTGACACCTTGCATGCATGACATACATGTACATGCATGCTATCACTTGCAAAATATTTTATAGGACAAATACAATGTTTACATATACATTGTATATACATGTAGTCATGTATATAACAAAAATATTCTGTATTATAGTTTATATTCTTAATGCTACTAGCATTAATTTTATATTGAATAATTGGAAAATAAAAAAAAAATTACTGAATGTGGAAGTAGCAATGTATTTAGTACATTGTTTATTATACATTAAGTACAACTTAAACTGCTGAATTTCATATGTGCATGTATTAAAATAGTTATATTTTAGTATGTTTAATCTAGAAACAGTTTTGACAAATGTATTTGTTGTGAAAATATTTTTGAAAATAAAATTTTGAAATAGTGATGATTTAAAGAAATTTTCTCAGTATTTGGAACTTTGCAGGTTAATTTGGCATTTTTTGTTACATACAGTTTTAAACAAATTGTAATAGTGGTAACAGTAGACATTAGGTACAGAATCATACAATCTGAGAACTCCAGGATCTCTGCAACCCACCAGAAGGATAATACAGTGTTCTTCAACCTCTTTTTTTTTTCTTGAATATCTTCTGGTTGTGGAGCCAAATTGTAATGTGAAATCAGTCATAACAGTCGAATACAGTTGACATGAGTCTGTAAGATGTTGCATGGTAACATATCTTTCAGAGTTTTGGGTGAACAGACTTGTTAGTCTTGAAACTTGTAAAGCTAAACACAACTTTATGAAATGTTAGGACATTAAAACAATGATGTAATAGGATTACTAACAAACAGTTGATACTGTTGAATTCCTCCTATTAATAATATGTCTGTGCACACAACACGCACACACACACCCTCACACACACACACACACATATATATATATATGTAACAAAATGAATTAATCTCACACTCAACACATTGAATTGACCTCTGCATGTTAAGAGATGCCCTAACATCATGGAAATATGCCATTTAAATTTTATGTGACACAGTGGTGTGAAGTAGCAAAAGTCCATGAATAAGGGAATTGAAGTGAATAGTGAATCTAAAAATTAAAAAATGCAATAGGAATTTCTTAAACTCCATGTGTAGATATGAATTGTGAATCTATATTAAAAGTAAAAATGTATATATTAGGAATTCCCTAAAATTGATTTCAAAAAGTGATATTTTACCTTTGATATTCATTTTATTTGAAAATAAAAAATTGCTTCTGTATGAAGTGTGTATCACTCGGTGACAGATCCAGGATTCTTGAAAAGGGGCGGGGCAGTTGGTTAATTAGGGGTTTGGGATGGGGACTCAGTCTCTGTATGGAGGCTCCTAGGTTTTATTGGTAATTCTATGGAACAGTTTTGTGATTTAATTATTTATAACATAAACTGATACGCATGTAAACAGCGGTCAGAACATGCAAAAATGCTCGGACATTCAAGTTCGGGATCGGCATCCAATCCGGCTTATAAGGTTGTGTAATATTTTTCAACTTGCATCATTTCATGTCAAGAGGGGAGAAAAGTATTTTTGCAGGTAAGTTCATGTTACACAAATAAAAGCAAAACGAATAATCAACAGTAGTGTGTCATGGTCGTAACTAGAAGTGATGACATAACTTAAATTATTTCTATTCGACTTAGTCGCTATGATGCAGCTTAATTGCTACTGGCCACGGACGTAGTCGGTTAGATAGAACCTTCTATCGTTAAAATGATATTGTCCTACGGAACCGGTTTGGTGAGGGCTTGTCCCGAGACACAGTTAGATTATTCTAACTAGTAGTTGGTATGAAATTGTTTAAAGAGGCGGCCTGGCCCTTTGGCCATATTTCTCATATGAGTATAGATTTTGATGTTGATTTGAACAAGACCTTTCCCTACTAATACTGTATTATTAAAAAAAAAAAACCTCTCGGACACTAATAGAGTGAAAAAACTAAATGTTCCAATGTTTTGTACTTTAATTGACAAATTAAAAAAAATCTTGATAATTTATCCTTATGTATACTTACAATTATATGATAATCTAGTGTCATGACCTTGACCCAAGGAATTTTGAGCAAGGTCACCAGCAGAAAAAAATGTATAATTGTGTCTAGTCCTAACTTTCTAATGTATATAAACATATACATGTAGGAAATTCATACTTCACACAAAGATTACTTATGACCTGAGAGTGTGTCATAATTTTGACCAAAGTTGATTTGTACAATATAAAGTTCACTAATGGAAAAAGTGTATAATTTACGTCCAGTCAATAGCATTTGAAAGGAAAAACATTGGAAACTCATTTTACTTATGACCAGAGAGTGTGTCATGACCATGACCTTGAACCAAGTTCAATTGTACAAGTTTAAGGTCAATGACAAGAAGGCATTTGTTTCTTGTCCATAACTTTCTATTGGATTTAACATTGAAGGTTAAAACTTTACACAAAGGTTACTTATGACATTAGGAAGTGTCATGACAATGACCCAGGATCATTTGTACAAGTTCAAGGTAACTTTAAAAAACCTTATAATTATCCCTCTCCTGGCCATATTTTGTAATGTAAATACATTGGAAACTCATACTTGCCACAAAAAATGCTTATGACCTAGGATATGTCATAACCTTGACCTTCAGTCATTTGGACATGTTCAAGTTTACTGGTATAATGAGTGTAAAATTCGTGTCTCCTCCAGAATTTTGTGAGAAACATTGGATGCAGGAATTTCTTTTTTTATAAAGTTAACATGATAAATGCAATGGGGGGGGGGATTATTTTGTGATCATCATTGCCCATTACACCCTGAGGCATCTAGGGTGGCAATCATTTTGTTGGCTCTTCACTCAATAACTCGAGTTTTTCTTGTAACATTTAAATTAAATCTGTATTTAAGGTTATCAAGATTATGGTGTGATTATGCCACAGTGCACTGCAAGAAATTGTAATTTATTGATTATATTTACATTCTCATATTGAGATTTGATCCTTTACTGCTGGATACTTTAAAGTTTAAGGTCTGGTTTTAACTCATGTGTGCCAAATAAATGTTTATTTAAGCTGTTTTGACTGAAAGAGCTAGGTTCACTTTAGGTATGAGATGGCCTTAACTACTAAAGTGTCACTCTCTTGTAATATTTCTTATTTCATAAAGTAGAGACTTGGGACATTTTCATTACTTATTTAAAAATCATTTGAGATCTAATTACTGGTGTTTATTGTTTGTGAAATTACAATATTTTTGAATTTTGTATTTTACAGAAAGTTGTGTATTTGAATACTTTCATCAAGGAATTTAAATGTCGATGCAGTTTTGGATTCCAAAAATAAAACATGTAAAAAATTCAATGAAATTAACAGTTCTATCAATATATATGCTATAATTTTTGTGGTTGATGCAATGCCAGACATAATAATGCACAGAATAGCAAGAAAATTACATCATTTTGAACAAGGCTTTAAACAAGCTCATTGAAAGTCAGCATTTCACAAAACAATGACCTTGTTTGTAAATTATACAATCTATAGTTGGGTTTTAATTTGACCGATGTGTTTAATACCAATTGTTAAGCAATTATTTTTAGCTCACCTCGACAAAGTCAAGATGAGCTTATGCTATACCCCCAACGTTGGCGTTGGTGTCGGCGTTGACGTCCTGGTTGAAGTTTTAGGAGCAAGTCCATTCCCAAGTACATGTAACTACATTGTATAAGACCTACCTGGACCAAGCTTGCAGGGATAATGCATCTAGGGATGGACACTAGCAGACTTGCTTCAGATGCTGGATTTGACCTACAAATATTTTCCAGATGAGCGACCAGGTTAAAGTTTTTGGAGCAGGTCTATTCTCAAGTAACTATAAGCCCTACCTTGTCCAAACTTCCCTGGATGATGGCAGATGCATCTAGGAATGTACACTACCGAACATGCTTCGGATGTTGGATCTAACCTACATTTTCCAGATGAGTGACCAGGTTAAAGTTTTTGGAACAGGTCCATTCCAAAGTAGCTATTAGCTCTACTTGGACCAAACTTGCATGGATGATGCATCTTGGGATGGACACACCAGACTTGCTTCAAATGATTGATCTGACCTCCATTCCCAAGTAATATAAGACCTTCCTGGACCAAACTTGTAGGAATGATACATCCAGGGAAGTAAACTACCAAATATTTTTTGGATGCTGGATCTGACCTACATTTGCCAGATGAGTGACCTTGTTGAAGGTTTTGAAGCAGGTCTATTCCCAAGTACCTATAAGCCCTACCTGGACCAAACTTGCATGGATGATGCATCCAGGGATGGACACTACCAGAATGGCTCCAGAAGTTGGATCTGACCTTCATTTTCCAGATGAGTGACTAGGTTAAAGTTTTTGGAGCAGATCCATTCCAAAATAACTATTAGCTCTTGCATGGATGATGCATCTAGGAATGTAGTCTACTCAGCCTGCTTCAGTCATGCTGGATTTGACCTATATTTTCCTTATGAGTGAATTTTAGCCATACATTAACAAAATAAGCATGGATGATGTATCTAGGGATGGACACTTCCAAACTAGTTTCTGGTGCTGAAATTGACCTATATTTTCCAGATTTGTGAATAGGGTATTGTTTTTGATGAAGCTCTATAATTATATGGCCTGTTATGACTAAATTTGCATGGATGATGCATCTAAGGATGAACACTTCCAGACTTGCTTTGGATGCTGAATTTGACCTATTTTTTCAAGATGAGTGAACAGGGTAAAGTTTTTGGAGTAGCTATATAATTATATGGCCTGTTATGATTAAAATTGCATGGATGATGCATCTAAGGATGGACACTTCCAATCTTGCTTCAGATGTTGGAACTGACCAACATGATTTTCTTGATTAGTGAACAGGTTGAAGTTTTTTGGAGCAGGTCCATTTCCAATTAACTATAAGTCCTACTTAAACCAAACTTGCATGGATATTGGTCTTTGGATGCACACTAACTAGAAAAAAATATGATGTGAGATTTGACTTTCTTAAAGACAACATTTGTCGAGGTGAGCCATGTAATTTTTGAATACCTATGTTTATACTCTATAAACTCTTGATTACTCCATTATACAGGGGGCATATACTCTTGATTACTCCATTTCAGAGGGCTCATGGCTCAACATTTCGCAAAATCTATGGTTGTTAGGATGTAAAATGAACTTGTTTGTAAATACAACCTATCACAGAGTTGTAATTAAACTGACATGTCTTATAACAATTGTTAACCCATTGTTTTATACCAGTTTTGACTATGAATTACACCAATTCTGAGTGCATACGGCGGGTGTGACAGGGGATGCTTACTTCTCTAAGGCACCTGATTCTATCTCAGGTGTTTCCAGAATCTGTTCACAATTCACATTGTTTACAGCAGTATTTTACAGCCGTTTTACAGAATTTATGAGATTGATTACTGTTCTTATCTTTATCATTTTCGTACGTAGTCCATAAGTCTATGTCACAAAGTCCATTAAAATTGAACAGATTTAATCCCCATCCCTCCTAATCCATGATTTTGGGGCATACCCAGGTACTTGCATAATTTTTGCCCTGTCCTTCTGTTGTCTGTCTGTTTGTCTGCAAAAACTTTAACTTTGCCTATAACTTTTGAAATGGTTGATGCCAGAGCTTTCATATTTCACATGTGTATTCCTTGTAACAAGTCCTTTCTTTGGGTACTAACATATTTGACCTTTTGACTTTGACCTTGGAGTATAAGCTACTTTTGTAAAATTTTACCAAACTTTAACTTTGGCCATAACTTTTGAATGGTGGGTGCTAGGGTCTTTACAATGTATACTAGTATTTCACTTGTATATTCCGTGTGACCAGAACTTTCTTTGGGTACATTTTTTGACCTGGACCTTGGAGACCTACTTTTGAAGAAGATTGTTCCTTTAAATTTATATGTAAAATTTAATTGCCATTGTGGCCCCACCCTACACCCAGGGGTCATTATTTGAACAAAATTTGAATCTACACTACCTGAGGATGCTTCCATATTGATATGACATCGGTAATTTAATTTTTCTTTTAATTATCATAATTTTACTATTGGTAATAACTTTTGAATGAGAGAAGATTGGGCTGTCATATTTTATATGCATTACATATGGCAATTTAGTCCTTTGGGAATGTATTATGATTTATGACCTTGAAGTTAGACCTACTTTTCAAAAATGTAAACCTTGACCTGGCCAAAAATTAAAAAAAAAAATCTTAAAATATTTTGCATTTTGTAGTAATTGTGAGGGGGAAAAAATTACTTTAATTTTCTTAAACTTATTGTTGCCTGTCCCTGATTTTCAACTAGGACAGTCTGTAAGTCCACTTCAAAGGACAATTAGATGTTGAAAAGAGTCTGAATTATAAAATTACTACAAAAAGAACATTACATACCTATTATATTCCTATTTTGGTCATAAAAGATCCTATTGTTTGGAATATTAATCTTAAAATACAATGTTCTTTACAAGTATTTGTATAGCTTTTTCTTTATTTTTTCTCCATCCATCTGACATTTACAATTCTAATATGGAGGCAAATATAATGCCTAAAATCATTAAATATTCATTATCTTTTTTCTTCTTAGATGCATTGTATATGTGGTATCTTCATTTGCAAATATGCGCTTTAGTGTTGCTGTACATTGATAAAGTTGCTTTGTGTACAGTGCTGACTGATACAATACTTTTTTGATAATTTTCAGAATATGTGAATGCATGGCAAAGGGAATAACATTGAAAAATGACATTCAGATACAAACCAGTTTCAGACGCTGCTTTGAATTTTGCGAGTTAGACATTATTGCATACATCCATTGAGTCTATGTTCAAAAAAGACCAAGACCATGGTATCAGGGAAGGGGCAGCCATCTGTGGATCCAGTGGTCCCCCATCTTGTAAAACCAGCAGTCCACCGCCCTAACATCATAGGAATGCACATGCTGGATCTGTACAAATATTATCCGACAATGACACTTGCAAACTGTGCAATGAGGGTGGTCTACTACCCATTTCAAAAGGTCACAATTCTCCAACAGCAGCAGAATGGTATATGCCTTGTCCATGTTATCTTTACCAATATCATTTTTGATAATTCTCTGCATGTATTTTTGTAGTTACACTACTGTGAGTAAATGCAATCTCAAATTATCAATGCTGCTGTTTGTCATATCTACAAATCAGACACTACAAACTAAATCACTAATCAATGAGACACTTCAAACTAAATCACTAATCAATGAGACACTCCGAACTAAATCACTATTCAATGAGACACTACAAACTAAATCACTAATCAATGAGACACTACAAACTAAATCACCATTCAATGAGACACTACAAACTAAATCACTAATCAATGAGACACTACAAACTAAATCAATGAGACACTACAAACTAAATCACCATTCAATGAGACACTACAAACTAAATCACTATTCAATGAGACACTACAAACTAAATCACTAATCAATGAGACACTACAAACTAAATCACTAATCAAAAAGACACTACAAACTATTTGAATCTCTAGTCAATGAGACACTACTAAATCACAAGTTAAATGAGATCTTAATCCAAGCACCACTTTTTTTTCTATGACCCTCAAGATAAAATATCTTTGTCATGTTGTTTTTTTTTTCTTTGTTGTGTGCCTGTTTGCCTTAACTCCATTGTGATATCCTAGACAGTGTCAAACTTTAGAGGTCATTCTTACACAGATCAAAGTTTGAAAAACCAGTTTGACACAACTACCGGTAAACCTTTTCACTGCATGGGACATTGTAGTGTTTCACTGTGAAAATAAATTGAATTTTCATCTGTATAAAAATAAATTGGCTAACCTCATGCAAATTATGCAGTATTTCTCAAATTGCATAAAGGACATTAAAAAAGCTGAAATCTCTTTCTACCCCCCCCCCCCCCCCCAAAAAAAACAAAAAAAAAAACAAAACGGAATGGTATTCTTTAGAGGGACTCTGATATCAATATTAATGAAGTGTTTTGTTTTTTATGTTGCAGAAAAAGAGAAAATATACAAAAATGTAACAGATACCTTTGTAAAGATATATCGACGGCAAGGATTAAGTGGACTTCTGAGAGGTGTAACATTCCGAGTATTTGGACAGATTCTTTCCTCCCTGACCTATTTTAGTATTTATGAGGGTGTACGAGAACTAACATCACAGCCATCTATTGCTGGATTTACTGCCTCTTGCACAGCCTCCTTCATAATCTGTCCGTTTGATCTTATAAACCGCCATGTCATTCTGTTATCAAAGAAGGCCACAAGTCAACAAGAGGTCCAGATTCTGAAAAGCCTCCAGCCTTTGCGGTTCCCCAAAGAAATTAGACATGGAGGAGGGTGGATTTTGGAGAGTTCAGTTATTAAAGATGTGGGAAATCGACATGGACTTAAGGGGTTTTGGAGAGCTCTACCATTGCTGATGATGTACAATGGAGTTCATAGTGCCTTGTGGTGGTCATCATTTGAATTTGTCTCAGGTGAAAATATTTTAATTCATTTGTGCAAAAATTTGTACAGTAAAACTTGGTTATAGCTAAGTTCTGGGTATCTACGAATTTACTTCGCTATATCCATAATTTGCTATATCATACAAATTCATCAAAGTACTTAAAATAGCAAATTCACAATATAGATGGTTTTCTTCAGGTATGACAGCCAAATATATTCTGTGAAGTATATATTAGGCCTACTAAAGTTTTCTGTTGAATTGAAATTTTCAAAATAAATACATACAAGACAATAATGTCAGTTTTCAATATTTAAAAATTTGAAATCTTTGAAAATTCTTTACAAAAGATGTAAATTACATTATTTTTAACTTCTCTATGAGACACAAAATCAGTTTGCTATAAGTGTAAATTCGCTTTATCAGAGTTTGTTGTTACCATAAAATTTTACAAGAAATTGTTAAGAATTTTGATGGGGATCCCAAAAAACTTCACTTTATCCATTAATTCATTCTATTTGTGTTCATACTATTAATAATTTTTACTGTATTCACTCAGTTTAATTCGATCAGAAAGATCACTAAGACTTCTAATGTGTAATCTGGCTTAAATGCTTGATTTGATGCACTTTTAGCTCACCTGAGCCAAAGGCTCAAGTGAGCTTTTCTAATTAAAGTTTGTGGCATCTGTCTGTCTTACATCTGTTGTGTGTCATGTGTTGACTGCGAACTTGTTTTCTCTAGAACCACTGAGCCAATTTCAACCAAACTTGCTACAAAGCATTCCCTTGTGAAGGAAATAAGATTTGTACAAATGAAGGGCCTCATCTTCTTTCAAGGGGAGATAACTAAGAAATAAGAAAATTTTGTGACATCTTTTAAGAAATATTGAATTATGTCCAAGGTAATTAACTCATGTGAGTGTTATGATACATGGGCTCCATGGTTATCTTTTGAGCATGTTGAGAAAAAAACCTATTCTTGATGAATATAATGATTACCGGTATTTAGTTTGCTTTTAAAAAATACTCAGTAATTGATTTTTATTGTATAGGTATCCTGGCCAGTATGTACCCTGAGACATCTCGGGTGCTGAGGAATAGTGCCAGTGGAATAATATCAGGATTTGGAGTTGCTACCGTCACTAATGGTCTATCCATTACTACCACAAGAGCACAGGTAAACCAAATTTTCTTTAATGACATACAAATAACTGTTTTAAATAAATAATTAATGGCTTTATGAAGAAAGTATATCTTCTGAACATGCCCCTCTTTTATTTTATGGGATATTTATTTGGGTCTGGCTTACCATCTGTGTGTCATTCTGTCTGTAGCAGATGATAATTCTTTTGCAATGAAATTTTATACCATGAATCCCATTGACTTAAATAAGATATGGCAATAATTCCTGAAAAGTAGGTCAAACTTCAAGGTCACAGGGTCAAAAATCATGTATATTTGGAAAGGTCTTGTCACATTTGTGTACATTTGTATGTTTGAAATTTGAAAGCCATATCTCTTCTCAATCAAAAGTTATGACCAAGGTTAAAGTAATGTTAAAATTTTTTAAAAGAAGGTCAAACTTCAAGGTCAAGTTCATGGGGTCAAAAATCATAGTATATTTGGAAAGGTCCTGTGGAAAGGTCTTGTCACAGGAGGTGAAATATAAAACCCCTATCTTTTCTCATTCAAAAGTGATCAGTTAATGTTTTGTTTTTTTTTCTGGAAGTAAATTCATCTTAGAAAGCTTTGATGTGCATGATTAAATTGCAATACTGTTTTTTTTTAATGATAGAAGAAATTGATTTTCAGCTGAAGCAGGCCAGTATTCGAGAAGCTGCCATGAATCTCTACAGAGATGAAGGATTTCTACGATTTTTTACCAAGGGGCTGCGCCCCAGATTGTTGCAAAACATTATTTTTTCATTCCAAGCCACACTAGTGTATGATTCTGTAAAACAGTTCTCCTTAAAGGAGGAATACAAATCAAAGGTCACATGGTGACAATAAATTTCAGTCATGAATACATGTATCAAATACAGATTACATTTTGTATGATTTTTTTAAATTTCTATTTTCACTTTTTTATTTGTATTGTTGAGATTATTAAATATCTATATACACCTGCATCTATTTATTGAATTAACACTGTGTTGTTTGGGGGGATTATTTTACTGTATTCCGACGGAGTTTGTAGAGTTATGAGAAAATTTATTTTATTTTTCAATTTGACAACAATCTTTACCAAAGATATGTTTTAATTCTACTAATTCTTCTTCTTATTGTATATGTATATCTAAAAGAGACCTCAAAAATTATTTAGTCAGTACAAAATTTGGTGCTTTATTTCATGACAAGGTTGTACAGAGAGATTCAAACTCAAAAAATAAGTCTGTTACAAAATGAACCTGCCATTGCATGCATTGTGTCAAATAGTTATTACTTTTTATGCCCCCGTAATCGAAGATTTGGGGGCATATAGTTTTTGCCCTGTTCGTCCGTCTGTCTAGCTGTCTGTCTGTCCACAAAAACTTTAACCTTGTCCATAACTTTTGATTGGTTGGAGGTATGGCTTTCATATTTCACATGTATATTCTTTGTGACAAGACCTTTCTTTGGGTACCATAATATTTGACCTTGACTTTGGAGTTTGACCCAGTTTTGCAAAATATTACCCAACAATAACCTTGGCCATAACTTTTGAATAGTTGGTGCTAGGGCTTTCATACTTTACATATGTAATCTTTGTGACAAGACCTTCCTTTGGATACAAGCAACTTTGACCCTTTGACCTTGGAGTTGGACATTATTTTGGAAAACTTTAACCTTGGCCGTAACTTTTGAACAGTTAGTGCTAGGGCTTTCATACTTCACATACGTAATCCTTGTGACAACACCTTCCTTTGGATACCAAGAATTTTGACCCTTTGACCTTAACCTTGGAGGTTGACCTACTTTTGGAAAACTTTAACCTTGGCCATTACTTCTGAACAGTTGATGCTAGGGCTTTCATACTTCACATATGTAATCCTTGTAACAAGACCTTACTTTGGATATCAACAACTTTGACCTTTTGACCTTGGAGGTTGACCTACTTTGAAAAACTTTGACCTTGGCCATTACTTTTGAACAGTTGTGCTAGGCCTTTCATATTTCACGTGTATATTTCTTGTGAGAAGGCCTTTCCTTGGGCACCATTAATTTTGACCATCTGACCTTGACTCACATTTGAAAAACTTTAACCTTTTCTATATCTTTTCAATGGTTGCTGCTAGGGCTTTCAAATTTCACAGGTATGTTCTTCAAGACAAGACCTTACTTTGGGTACCAACATATTTGATTTGCATTTGAGAAAGTTTAACCTTCGCTGTAAGTTGCCATATGGGGGCATCAGTGTTTCACAAACACATCTTGTTTATATATACGAGTACCAGTTTTTTTTTTTTTTTTTTGCTGTACTTCAACATCAGCACAAACTCGAAACAAAATTTATGTTTATTATCTTTGTTAGGCATCTATCTTTTGATGGTCTAAGAACTTGCAATCAGAGATGCAGAAACTTGTGTTGGGTTATTATTGTGGGAAAGTATTTTGTGTTCACAGATCTGTAAATGGTTGAAATTGAAAAGGGAAGACCTGAATGAGCCGCAGTCATGCTCACCATTCAATATTGTTTTTTATCTTATAGCAAGATTTGTTTTGACCCAGTTTAAAAGTACGTTTTAAGCTGTGAATGTCATTAATATTTTATGATAGGTAAGATTCAAGATTTAAATTCAAAAGAAACTGTTGCATAGAGAGGGAAGATTTTTAGTGGAAAAAATCTCAGAAAATAGAAATATACTGTGTATAGATCTTTTTAACTTTTGCAATTTTCCCCCCATATGTATTAACTACAGTTGAACTTTGGTATCTCGAACACTGATATCTCGAATACAATGGATATAGCACAGTGATTTGGAAGTCCCAATCCCTTATTCTTTAATTATTTTAGCCTGGATATCTTAAAACCTTGGATATCTCAAGGTTTTTTCTCAGTCTCATTGAGTTTGAGATAACGAGGTTTGACTGTATATCCCAAACTCAGAGGAACTGAGAGAAAACTTCAAAATATCTGAGGATTCAAAATATTGAGGTTAATACATATATATATATATGAAGAAAAAGTGGATGGGACTTCAATCTCTCTTGAACATATCCATGGTATTTGAGATAGAGAGGTTTGAGATACTGAAGTTCAACTGTACTCATGGTTTTTTATATATTTTTTACACAAAATAATAAATCTCAAAGGGCGTGATAAATACAATTATAAGAAATGTTATTATGAATATAACTTGAAATGCTGTGTATTTTGTCAAGAAATAAAATCTACAAGATTTAAAAGAAGTGACGTATATTCAATGTAAAAACAAAATTTGAGATTCAGGAAAATCAGCACATGTATCATGCATAAAATTGTTTATAGGAAAAAAAAAGTATATTCTTGGTGTTTAAAAGATGATTTCAGCATTGGTTGAAGGCCTCATTTCTTTCATTTTCTAATCTGTAAATATTTATTACAATTTCCTGTTGATACAGTTTTGAAAAAGGAAAGTAAACATTTTGAAAGCTAGTGTTCCAATACTAATAAATACAAACTGATGGTCATGAATGTGGATTTTTCAACCGAGTCAATAAAGCATCAGCATGGCTTCATAGAAGTGATGTAAAGAAATACCCAATCATCTGAATAGTTCCAGTTTGTTATTGGTAGCAGTTTGTCAAATACTAACCTAAAATAACCTACATAATAGTTAGGGCCCCTCTATTCACTAAAGCAAAATGTTTTTGGGGGCACTGAGAAAATTATATTGTGTAAATATTGAGCTTTTTTATTTTATTTTCAACATAGGTTACCTTGCATTTACCCCCTGGAAAGATGTTCATAGACATTGCAGTATTGATGAACAGAAATCACTGTTGTTATCTTAAGTGGGGAAAGTGTTCACTTAATTTAATTATCTTAGCATATGAAAATGTTCTATATGTTGGAATACTAAGATTACAAATTGAGTAATACACGGTAGATTTCAATTTACTTTATTTTAGACATATACTCTAACTGCATAAAAATACAAAGTCAAATTAAAACTCTTTAAGTGTGCAGGGCATAGAGGGTTCCTGAGCAGTACTTAAACAAGAGGCCTGTTGTCCACAGTGCTCACCTGATTCAACTTTCTGTTCTTGACAAATACAGTCAAACCTTGTTATTTATGGGACCGAGAAAATACTTTGAGATACATAAGAATCCAAGATATCCAGGGTAAAATATTTAAGGAATATGTGGTTGGAACTCCCAAATCACCTTGACATATCCATAGTATTCAAGATATTAGTGTTTGAGATACCAAAGTTCAACTGTATGTACAAGTGCAAGGAAACCTCTTTAATCTTGTCTCCAAATTAAAGTTTTTGATTGTTAACAAAAATAATGAGTTCAAAGTAAGAGGTCCAAGTGAGCTTTTCTGATCAGAGTTTGTACAGTATATGTATGTATGTAATGTATGTTTGTATACACTTTACATTTTTGTCTACTTCTCCAGAACAGTAGACCAAATTCAACCAAACTTTCCTTAAAGTATCCTTAGTTAAAGGGGATTCAAGTTTGTTCAACTGAAAGTCCACATCCTTTTCATAAGGTGGGGTCATTTGCTATTCTGACCTTATTATTTGATTTTTATCACGTGAACCTTAAATATTATCTTGAAGGCTTTTGATTGATTGATTGATTGTGTGTTGTTTTACATCCCATTCAAGAATCTTTCACTCATAAAGAGACGTCACCAAATACTGGTGAAGGAATTCAAATTTAGACCTTTACTCGGCACTCAGGGCCATTGAGCAGTGAGGGTTCTTTATCGTGTCAACGTCTACCATGACACAGGGCCTTGATTTTTAAGGTCTCATCAAGACCCGCAACTTTCACTTCAAAGTTCCAAGCGCTTGGCGAAGGAACAGTTGCTACCTATTTTTTATCGACTTGGGTCAGTTGTGGCAGTGATTGGAACACACAACCTTCCGATCACGGAGGGAGTGCTCTACTAACTGAGCTTAGTAACCTTGACGGAGAAGGCTTTAGACTGTCCCTTTTTAATATACTATATGCAGTTTATGTCAGTGAAGTCTGTTATTTTTAGAGAATAATAAACATTGGATGGTCTTTTTTTATATTTTACTTTCTTTTTTTTTTAATTCTCACACTAGAGCAACAAAACATAACAATGTCCATGAAATCAGCACAGCTACCTTCCAGGGAAATTTAACACAGAGTTATGCAATGCTGAAATTTAAAATGCATTTCACATGTAAATACAAATAATACTACAAAATCTGATTAAGCAGTGAAAAAATGTGTTTGAACAAGACATCCATTTGGGTATAAATTAACTAAAACCCTTCTGGATTGGATGATTTTCCAATGACTTCAAGGTAATACAATATGTTTTATCATAGACACGACAGGAAATTGTCAACAGTGATTGCTCCAAAGGGAGCAAACTCTACATTATATTCCAAATACCGATATATGTACAATATTTTCAACTTGCATACAAATGCTATGTAAGGCCAACTCCACTCTACCGGTACAATTACTTTAGTAGTCAATTTCACATACATACAAAATCTATTGTGTAGTTAAAGTAAAATGACCATTCCTTACAGGGTAATAAAACAAGAAGTCAGTGGGCCACAATGCTCACTTGTGCTGTATACAATAAACCTTATTCCTGGATGTCCATCAAATCTAGGCTGAAAAGACTGAAATATAGAATTCTGTTATACACTATATAAATATTGCAAGTAGTTGAGTGTAACATTGAAAATTTTCATCCCAAGAAAACCCATTGTCAACCAAGGAGCATATTACAGTGAACCTTGCGTGCATAAATTCTGTGCAATCAATATTTTTTTGAATATCACCCATTGTCAAGCAATGTTGACTGTTGCTACGCTGGAGGGCTTGGCTTCATTATACAGTGGGTAATAGTGTTTTTTAACAATTGTTTCTTGAAGAATCAGATTCAACTACCGGTAATTTACATGAAAGTATAATTATATATGTAAATGTCACATTTAAAAACTCCATCTGAATTGAATTATTTTTAAAAATTCTTTTATCTTTGAAAGATAGATTTCAAATGTCTGTGCATATTCTGTAAGTTAATACTTTACATTACAATTTTATGCATTGACATTGTAACAACTCTTGGCTCTTGCATACAAAAAAATTTGCTTTTTCTACACATGGTACATTGCAGAGCTAAAATTTGCAACAGAAAACTTTTATTTGTAACCAGCTAAAGGAAATATATTTATAGATTATAATAATATGTACAAAATACAAGACACAAAAGCCTCAAAGAAGTTTGACAATTTTCTTAGAATGGAAATCAAGGTTTTAACTTTCCATGGGATTTCTTTTTTGTATGCTGAGGTATACATACCAGTATATAACAATCATTAAATAATCACAAAATTAACAACAAAGAGCTAGGTTTGCAAAATGGCCCTGTCATTTGGGCTTATAAAATAGCAATCTACTTGAACTTTGTAGTAAATTTTGCTGCAAAGAGATTGTGCTTTTATTAAAATTTTAGAGTTTTAAAAACTGACCTTTTTTGATAAAATTTTAATGAAATGGGAACAATGATGCAATTTATGTTAGAATGTAGATGAAAACTTGAAGATTATATTGCTATTATTACTGGGGTAGTTATGTAGTTCTCATGGGGCCTTTCGTCATTTTAGATTTTATTCAGAAAATGTACCTGTCTTCATTTTTTTCAGAATTGGACAGCTAGGGCTTAATAAGGCTGACTGTGAACCCTTGCTCTTGAACAACAGCTAAGGCAAGGAGGCATCAAATTTTGCAAGAAAATTAAAAATTCTGGAACACAATAGCTTCAATGCACAAACATATCACCAGGAACAAAACTTTCTTACATTTAAACAGAGCAAAGAACAATGTCAAATACATGTACTACATATACACAATGATATGTTAGAACACAAACACATTCAGGAATTTTTTTAAAAAAAGTTTCACTGTACATGTAGTAAGATACATGTATCCTGTCCCTTTTGACTACAGAGGAAAAAACAAGTTTATCACAGAGCTTTGGATAAAGTACAATAACAGTTTCACACATATCATAAGTTGTCAAGGGAACATCATACATGCAATTACATTTATCTAATATAGCAGTAGTTCCTTAGGTACCATTAACATGATTAAAACACAAACACACATTAAGTTTTTCCTATTTCTGGTTTAAAGACAAATTGAAATTCAATTGTTCTATTTGTGCTTAAAATGAAATATTCTCTCCAAATAGTTTTAGGATTTTCAAATATGTTTCACTAAATACTACCACTTCCAGAGGCTAACAAATATATTAGCATACTTGATTCTGACAATCAGGCATGCCTGGGTTGACCTGAGTTGAGACCAGCAGAGAATTGTGCTCCAACCATCTGTATCGAGCTGGAAAATTTTGAGCATGCATGTAACCAATTCAGAAAAACTGTGTTCAAGATAACTTGAAAACAAAATATTGGAGACATAATAAAGAAATGACTTTACTTTTTTGACGATCCTGATGTTTATGCAAAACAAAAGTAATGGAACTAATGTAGTTTATTTGGAAAAATCTTTTTGTATAACTTTTAAACTTGCAATCATTTTTCAACAATTTTGATTGCATAAAACTTTTACATATTTGCTGAGTTACTTTATGCTAATGGACAAGCCAGGCTGAAACTGTGTGTTCTGGGATTCGATCAGAATCAAGTATGCTACATGTCGTATTATATTTGTAAACTGAGACAAAAATGCTGAGCAAATCATATAAAATTGTATATGACGCCAAAATAAGTTTTCTTTGTATATATATCTTAGATTAAAAGAATTTGTTTAACTATAGTGTTTATGTAACACATATAGATAAAAGTACTTGTAACATTATCTCTGGAACTGTATAAAAAAAAATCACCCCGTATCAACATGGCATCTTGCTATACATGCAAATTGTGTGAATGAGTAGTGCTTAGCAATTGAAAATCATGAAATCATAACAAACATATTCATTTTATCTGTGTTATTATTAAGCAATGTTTTATAACCAAGTGGCTCAAATCATTTTTAATGATTACACAGTGAACACATTTAAGGCAGCCAAACTGTGACAAGGAGTTGCTAAAGATTCGTATGCATCCATTTCTTATGAAGGTGATTAGAGAATTTTCCCTCATGTTGTATTAATTTTTAGATCGACTAAAATCAAGAAACACAACATTATATCTGAAAACACTTCACAATACTGAAATGATACACAGCGAACTAGATATGTCAGGGTGAAATGAATACCCCCACTGACATACAAATTTTAAGTATGTGAAAAGTCCAAGTGTGTGAAAATAACAATGGGTGGAAATGGCACAAAAATAAAATATCATACTACTGCTTTTGTTTTCTGGAACCAGTTCTCTAACCACAACATAAGCTGTGTGAAATGGTGATCACTAATAAGCAGAGCAATGAAAAGTCCCCAAACAGTGAGTAACTAGATATTTTCAAAGTTCAAAGGACTTTCACAAAAAAAAAAGGTCAATCAGTATTTTATATTTGATCTATAAGTCAGCAATATAAAGAGACAAACCAAAGATATTCTCATTATCTACAAACACAGCAAAAATATATATAAAAAAAAGGTATGCAATACTGTGAATTATAAGAAATTTTCAAAGTCCAAGGGCCATAACTTTCATAAAAATGGATCAATCAATATAAAACTCGTTAATATCAAGAGAAATACCAAAAATTAGCTCATTATCTTAAAGCACAGGGAAAAAAAACACACAGGAAAACAATAAATTAAAAGAAATTTTGAAAGTCTTAGTATATGCCCCAGCCATTTATTGGCTTGGGTATCATAAAATAGAGGATTCTATGCCATTCACCTTTCAAGTTTTTATAAGTAAAATACTGTTCCTTCACTTTGACAAGTCTCTGTATAATACAAACAATCGAAACAGCCTATAGGCCTTCATTGTCACCTGAGTGTACTACAACAATTTTTCCAACAAATTTTAAGAATACATATAACACTTTATGTCACAGGCTTCTATGTAACAACAATTAAAAATTTCATCCTTCTCTCCCAGTGACTTTGACCATGCAAAAAAACTGTTTCTCAGTTCATATTTTGGCTATATATTTAACAAAATCCAATGCTTTCTTTAAAAAAAAAAAAAATTAGAAGCAAAACCTGCACCTTTGGAAACCTTGACCCCAAAAGCAATCCTAGCTGAATTCTTCATCAGACCAGCCCATGGTGCATGTTTGAATATCCTAACCTAATCCATTCTTGTAACTGCACCAGAACCAAAATTCTACTTTTTGCAAAAGAAGCCATTCTCTTTTGACCCAGTGATCCCTCAAATGAATCCACGTGAAGTTCTTTCAGAGACCAACCCATGGTGCAGTATCAACAACCAAACTCAAAGCCTTTCTTAAGCAATAGAGGACACACATTTGACTATGTGACCCTACTTTGGAGTCATTTTTATTTGTGGGGGGAATGTTCATTTGCAACGAAAATTTTACTGGTTCGTGGGGATGTTACTTAGTGGATAACATGTTACTGCTGGTGGGGACGTAAATTCATGGTTAGAGTGACCCATGAAATCAATGAACACTGGTCCCCCACAAATAATGACGATTTCACATTAATGTCACTTTTTGACTTCCATGATCAAGAAAGAGGTACCAATGAGCATGCATGCACATTTTACACATGTATGAATTCAAATAATAACAATAATTGAAATCAGTGCACTCCATATCCATATTAAAAAAGCAAGAAAGATATGTCAGCTTGTGATACTGTAAAATCACTTACTTTCATGAGGTTAAGTTTTTATGGTTTGAGAAAAAAGGTAGATGTTGAAGAGGTAAACATGATACAGTAGTTTGAAATTTTAAAATTTTGTGAAGGATATAAATTTGTTGGTCTCTAATCATACCATGAAAAGAACAAAAATTAATCCCACATGAATGGTTTCCCAGTACAGTAATATAATATATAAAATCTGATTCCATTTTAATTTTGCATTGTTAATTACATCAATCAGTGTCACATGCCTGTACTCAGATACCTGTTGGTAACCCAAGAATAACCCTTGATGACATTCATTGCAGAAGTATGGCCTCTGACCACTGTTAACATGCCTGACTTTCTAGTACACAAATTTTTGCTTTGATATTCATGCTGTGAGGGAATCTAAAGTCTTATCACTGTCCAGATCATTCTTCACAAGTTCTTCTTTGATTCTGTGATCAAGGAATCCCAGCTCTTGGAACTGTTTGAACAATGCTAGAAACCTCTCAATCTGAAATAAAATGATTATCAGTTTTGAAAAAAAAAATTAACATGTCTGCAGAAACAACATGTGAATATCATTGTACAGTAATAAGATCCCTCTCCAGAGATATATTTGGCTAACGAAAAAAAAAACAAAAACAAAAATCCAGCAAGCTGGGATAATTTTTGAGAGACAAACCTTTTCCTGGTTATTTTTGAACAGAAAAAGAGCTTCTTCCACTCTGTGAACTTCATGTCCTTTGTCAGTAAATTTCCCAACAACACAAAGGTACTCAATGACCTAATAAAATAATACATAGATATTCAGATGTCCATCTAGTAATGATTTACTATTACATACAGAGAATATCTACTGTAGTAGCCATTCTTTGAAATGTATATCAAAATTAGCAAAAAATAATATCCTTTGAACTATTAATCATGATGATTGTTTAAACTACAGGCCTATGATACCCATTTACATCACAATTAAAAAACTCAGATTTCTTTGTTTGACAAAAGAATATACTGAGTATGCAATGTACCAGGTACTCCATTATTTGGCCCCAAACAAAGCCTGAGTTTTGTTTTTAAGGATACTAACAAACTTTCTTTCAGAATACATCAGTAATGCCCGTATTCATACCTATGGCTTAGGTAAGCTAGGTTTATCAAGTAAGCCAGAGTCAAGTAAACTGGATTTAAATCCCACTTGAGCTGAGCTCACTTAAACCTCACTTGTGTTTCACACTGAAAATAAAACTGGGTTTACCTAAACTGCAGTCAATCTCGTGTTTTGACAGCATTTGGTATAATATTAAGCAGAGAAAGAACCAGAGACACAGGAAAATGAAAAAAAAACCCATATATTTTCATAGAAAATCTTTCATTACTTCACGGAAAAGGTTTTACTAGGAGCGTCCTCCTACTTTGAGTAGAGACAATGTTCTCACCATTACATGTACTATCAATGAATTAATTCATTCAATATAACGAATGCCTCCACTTACTCTATAATTTAATTTTCTAAGAGAGCAAAAGACACAATTCAAGGGCAGATACAGGAATTTTTCTTCTTTAGAGGCACGGGCTTACCCACTCAAAAAAGAAACATCTTCCAAATTAATTCAATATTTTTTCAAAGGAAATAAAAAGCACCAATACTTATTTAATCACTTTCATTCTATGTGTACACGTACGCATGGGTTCAAATCCCCCCCCCCTCCCCCAATACACACACACAACTTGCCTTTGCAATTACACACAATAGAGAGCGAAGTTGCAAATCGGAGACAATGTAAAATCATCTTTAAATTTCCACCCGGGAATGGCATTGAACATTGATGTATCACCGGGGAAAATAAGTGTAAAACTTTCCGGCAACAATGAAACATAAAAATGCTAACGATGGAATAGCACTTTATTATAAACTTAGGTCGGTAGGGTGAATTCTGGAAATCCAAAAATTAGACCCGAACAATCCGAAGCCTAGGACTTGACTGATTAACAATGTTGCATGTAACATATAAATAATAAAATATGATAATTAGCACAATTTTGAGTATGAGTGACAGATGGCTTAGATAGAATAACTCATGACATGTTGAGTAAATCTATTAAATTGACACATTTTGAGTTACATGGTAATTAGCATAATTAGTCTTTTATGTTGTTTTAAGTAATTACAATAGATTAAAAGTATATTTCAAAGATAGTTAAAACAGGCCACTAAAATTGTTTTTATCAAAATTTACACCGTGATAGATGTAACACACTTCAGTATGTTCATAATAGGTAGAACAGCATTTTGAGAGAAGTCCAAGAACATCATATAAATAGATTTGCTCTGTCATGTATAATTTTGAGTCGTCTTTTAATTTTTTTCCACCTTCTTCATCTTATCTATCCAGTCCTCCAATGTTAGAAGAACAGTAAATCAACATTTAAACCTACCCCAGACCAGGTATAGGCTTATCTATCCAGTCCTCCAGTGTTAGAAGAACAGTAAATCGACATTTAAACCTACCCCAGACCAGGTTTAGGCTTAGCTTAATTTGTGAGCTCAGCTCACTTCTGAGAAACAGGTATGAAACGGATTTAAAAAATGTAAGCTTTTCTTAGTGGTAAACCTGGTTTAAACACAGGTGTGAATACGGGCATAAGTCTAATAGATTTATGTTCAGATAAATAACTTGAATAATTTTTGCCAGAGTAAAGAGCAAGATTCACTTTATGCATAAGATGGCCCTGTGGATACAAACGTATACCAATTTATTGATCAAGACCCTATAACCCAATGTCAACAACAATATAAAGACTTAGTGCTTTAATAATTAATTTCCTAAAACAAAGTTTCCTCTAAGAGTCCATGTATATATTCAATTAAAACTATAGGCAGTTTTGATATTTTAGAAATTCATAGGACAGAAAAAGGCCCTAAGTGGACCTTGCTCTTAAGACATTTTGTAAAATTTTGTTTTGTAATAATGTCAAAGAATGTGTGAAAAAATTGTTACACCTTTATAGTATACAGTAAATGTTTGTTTGTTTGTGTTATTGATCGAATCCTTTAAGTTATTCCACTCTGAGAAATTTTCACACATATCAAGAATTAACAAGAAGTAGGAAAGTTGCCCACTTCTAAACCTATGTTAGGGATTTAATTCACCACACTGAAGATTAAGGTGGCAGGGGATAGTTTCGTACTAAAGACCCGGTCAAATTTCTTAAAAAATTGAGATATCCCCTGTTTGATGTGATATTTTATGTAGAAAAATGATTAGAATAATTATGGGACACATTTGCAGTGTAGCAGAGTGCTTGCTGAAAAAAATGATATGCAACATGTAGGTGTCACTATGACGCTTATCATATACAGAGTTGTAAATGCGAAACTAAGACACGTGGTCAGTTGCAGAGGAAATTCAGCTGAAAAGCAGTAGGCCTTAGAAGAAGGTGTGTATCTCAGAGGGAAGGTGAATGACCCCATATCAATTGGTGAATTTTCATTAGGGCTTGCATTGATTTACAGACTACTGGGTGTTTTATCCTGCTCGCTCGGGCCTGGGGGTGGGTTGTATGGGTGTGAATGAGGCCCAAATCTTGGAAAAACAAGCCAAAATTTGGGGAGTCCCCAGGTGCATTTTTGGTACATGTGCACTCTAATACGCAGATTACATGTAATTTGTTGACATAATTTGTGAGCCATGGGCATATGAAGTGTAATTAATTAGCCCCTGGAAAACTGTCCCCATGTACATGTTTTTATGGATCGCATGTATATGTGTACCCCCTCGGCACATGTTTGGCATAAAAAAAAACTATCCCCTGCTACCTAACATTTTTCCCCCCTAATGTGGCTCCAGTCTGACTCCAGGAGTCATTACTTTGAATTTACATATGGATGTTTGCATACTGATAATAAAAAATCATTTTTTTTCTACTTCTCAAAAAATTATTTGTATTCCTGCATATAACTGTAAGGCCCCATTTTCCCTCAGGTTGGCACTCCATCTAAGCAAACTTACATTCCCTATACTCAAGGATGTTTTGTGTAAAAAGTAGTCAATACTGATTCTGAAGAAGTTCAAATGTTAAAAGTTTATGTACTTATGCTGCATATGCCAGTTAAACTTTTATTAGAAAAGCATGTCATTTGGAAGAAAAAATGTCAATAGTTTTCCCTTTCTATTCTTAGCTAAAACTGTGACCCATACTGTGGACCCAACATGTAGCTGGAAGCCAACAAACTTTAATGAACACTGATTTTAAAATACATGTACATGATTTCAGTATTTCTTGGAGAAGAATATGACTTTTCTTCTAAATCATGTCCCACAACAATATACCTTATAAATTTATGTTTATTTTAATACAGACTATTAATTTGCAAGATATGCAGAAAGTCTGACAACTATGCTAAAAGTATTAATATGTCTTCTCCCTAGCCAACAGGAGAAAGCATCATGATATCATTTAGTTGACTTAAAAAATCTACAGACAGTAGTCATGTTGTAAGGAACATTTAGCTAGGAAAATCATTCAAAAATTGAAAGTTCGGGGTGTTCCTCTTATACCTCTTTCTCATCTGCACCAAGTTTTTCCACAGCTCGGGCTGCACCAGCCTTGGAAAAGCCCATTCCAACAACACTATCAACAATTCTCTTGGAATCTGGTGGTAAATTATTGTACGGGTCAACATTTACAACCATCTTCAAGTCTGTTGTACTTCCTGATGTCAAGGAACTAGGACTTCCTGTTCTAAATCCAGGCTGAGCTGGCTGAGGTAAGGGGGAATAGCGGTTCCATGACTGCAACAAAAGATAATCAATCAATCACCATCTAACAATTTCAAGTCCAAAAATAAATCTAATAAAAAAAAGGAAGAACTGGTATTGATTCTTAAACAAATGATATCACTTTTTAGGAAAAAGTGTTATAAAACTAAATGTATGTATTAAAATCATTTTCAAAGTCTGCTATAGGCATTAAATTAATTATGTTCATCCATCTTAAGAAAGTCAGCCAGGAATTTTAAATGGTGCACTGACTATTTTAACAAATAACCAAAAATAACATGAATAAATGAAAATAAATTCACTTGATTTCAAAATTTTCCTTTGTGTAATTATACATGTATATGCAAAACTATCAAGATACATTTTCTGTATGCACTTAATTGAGTCAAAATAAAATATAACAATGGCAAGCCTCCAAAATCTCTTCCTCATTCATAATTCATTATATCCAGTTTATCTCATCTTGTTACATGTATGTCTTCCTTATAAGCTTGTTTTCTTAAGGGAGTTTACCACTAAAATTATTGTGGAATCATTATATTCTGTAGAGGTCCAATTTTTAAAGGATTTTTTGGGCACCCCTTAACACAAAAATTTACATTTCCCAATTAATATTGAGGTGGTCTCTTATAAATAATATGTTTACTTGTCAAATTCCATCTTGATAAACTTGTAAATATATAGCAGTCTATAAATTTGCCTCCCACAAATTAAAAAGATTCAACAGTATTTTTTTCATATACAATAAGACATGAATAATATTATTAATAAACAAGAGGCCCATGGGCCACATTGCTCACCTGAGCACTTTGGCTGGGAAAAAGCAGAAATCGGTTCAGTATTGAAAACTTTAAATATAAAAGTGTGGCCCCAACCTATCCCCGGGGGTCATGATTTGAACAAACTTAAATCTACATTTCCTAAGGATGCTTCCATACCCTATGACTAATCATGTCTTTCTTATTCTTGAGAAGATTTTAAAGATTTTCCCTATATATTCCTATGTAAAACTTTGATAACCTATTGTGACCCCACCCTACCCCCCGTGGTCATGATTTGAACAAATCTGAATCTACACTACCTGAGGTTGCTTCCATATAAATATGACAAATCATAGCTTTGCTGTTCTTGAGAAAAAGATTTTTCCTATGTATTCCTATGCAAATCTTTGATTGTCGATTGTGGCCCCCACCCTACCCACGGGGGTCATGACTTGAACTTGAATCTACACTACACTACCTGAGGATGTGTCCACATAAGTTTCATCTTTCCTGGCCAAGTGGTTCTGGAGAAGATTTTCAAAGATTTTTCCTTTGTAAAACTTTGATCATCCATTTTGGCCCCACCCTACTCCTGGGGGGTCATGATTTGAACAAATTTGAATCTACACTACCTGAGGATGTTTCCATAAAAGTTTCATCTGATATACATTTCATGCACTTAAGTTAATTAAATAATATTGAATCATTGTAATGTTACATTAATTAACAAAATGTATTACATGATACTGGACCCTGTTTTGTGAGTTATCTAACTTTTCAATTTATAATTCATGAGTACAAAATGTAATTAAGTATACATTATGTTTCATATAAATTATAATTGATTACAGATTACATAATGTAAACAAGAGGCCCATGGGCCACAATACCCACCTGAGTACCTATATGGCCCTTTTGTTCTTCATCAGCAGATTCTTTCTCCTATATATTCTTATGTTAAACTTTGTTCACATATTATGGCCCCACCCTACTCCAGGGGATCATAATATGTATAAATTTCAATCTACACTACCTGAAGATGCTTCCATACTTATCATGACTTTGCTGTTCTTCTTCAGATTTTCCCCATGTATTCCTAGGTAAAACTTTGATTGCCCATTGTGGCCCCAGGGGTCATGATAATTTGGACAAAATGAATCTACACTACCTGTGGATGCTACCATATAAATATGACTAATCATGGCTTTGCTGTTCCATAGAAAAAGATTTTTAAAGACTTCTTCTATATAAAACTTTGATCCCCTATTTCTCTCCCACCTTACTACCTGGGGTCACGAAAAAATCTTCAATCTACACTACCGGAGGAAGATTCTATAAAAATATGACTGATAATGGCTTTGCTGTTCTTAATAAAGATTCTATGAAAGTTTCGTTAAATTTATACAGTGTTATAGGAAGAGTTGCAGATAAAGAAATGGGTAGCCCACAGAGTTATGACGTACAGACAGAAAGATGGAAGAAAGTATGGATGCACACCCCCATCACTACATAACTCCACTTTTTAAGTGGGGGGGGGGGGATAAATAATGCATTGGGAAAGAACATCTATGCTAGTGATGGCTTAACAAGTGTATTTGCATCTGTTATAAAAAGGTACAAAAGATCTTACTTGTAAAAAAACTAAGAAGTGGATTAGCACAAGTTATAATAGGTACAGAAGATTTAAGCTTGTGAAGAAGGCCTAATAAGTGTTTTAGAATCTGTTATAATAGGTACAAAAAAATCTAAGCTAGTGAAGAGAGACTGACCAGTGTATTAGCACCTGTTTAAGCTATGGCAGTAAAATATGTTTATGCAGTCACCGTGCTAATAGTGAAAACATTATTGAAACAAAGGCATAATTTTGTCTCATATACTCTAAAATAATGTCATCTTTATGTAAAATTTTATTAACCACTTACAAAGCCAAATTTTCAGCTGTCCCTAAACTTTTGTGGAGGATGTATGTCACTGTATTTTACTGTTGTTATTAACTCAATACTTAGAAAACACGATAAGTAGGTGAAACAATACATGCATTGGGTAGTAATAATTCTTGTACATTTAAGGTCATTAGGAATGGCCTTGGGAGAAAACTTCCTGTTAATTCTGATGACTACATGCAATGCAGAACAAAGGCAGAACTAGGGAAACATTACAACAGGAAGTGGGGGGGGGGGGGGGTGCTTCATACTTACTGCTTGTATGTTTCCTGGTGGATCCTGTTAAAAATTTACATGAAAGAATGAAAGACACAGGCTCTAATATCTATATACATTACACAACACTCAAAGTTTGACAATGTGGTTACTGTTTTATGCACTACTTTGTATGAAAGCTTGTACACAACTTAATGAATAATAGTTTTTGATATATATATATATAACAACATGAACAAAGCAGTGTTAAATTCTTTCAACTAAACAGATGAAAAAAGATGCAAAAGTGAATCACAATTCATTATTAAAACAACAAAAAGGAGATAAAAATAAAGAATTTTGAAGTGTTAGTGTTGAGAAACGAGGTTAATCAAAATGGTTTCATTACTCACTGAACAATCGTTTGCACAAGTGATTTTACCTGTTTGGAGGAGGGTCTTGGTGGAGGTGAGATTGTGAGTGGGAGGGGTAAATCTTGACTCTGGTTACTTGATGGATCTGGTAAACTACTGGTCAGTCTGGGTTGAGGAACCCCAAAAGGTTTAACAGGAGCCACATTTACATATGCTTTAGAGTTTTTAGATGATGTCTCCTTTGGTTGTTGATTTGTAGGTAGGAATGGATTGGTACTTTGTAATGAACCATCAGTATCATTAACAATGCCAAAAGTTGGTGCCTTTGAAAAACTAACAGACTGTTGATCACTCATAACACTCACATTTTCATAAGTGTTTGATTGGAATTCACTTTTACACACTGGTTTTTCATGGGAACCATCAGTCTCATCTTGTTTAAAGGGATTTGTTGATTTTCCAGTGCCACTGGGTGCTGAACTGTCATTAGCTCCTATTCCTATAGGTGGAAGGGGGCTTTTGGCAGCCAAGCTTGGTCGTGGAGGAACTGGGGGTATGACTTTACCCTTGTATGTTTTTTGTTTTCTAACAATTTTATTCTTGACATTTCCGTTGGGCCGTTCTGGCTTCTTTGTTATATCCAATTCAACATAATTCCCTCCATCTTCTTTGTCAGTCACTGAATTTACAGAAGAGCTTGATGTCACAACACCATTGGGAGGATTGTTCAATATCTTTGTGTTTTCATACACAGTTTCTTGTTTCTTTGACCCTCCAGTTGTGTCTTTTGCATTACCACTGTTGTCAAACACACTTTTTAACTCAGTTAAGTCATTCAGAGTCAACCTCTCAAATCTATCAAAGGGATCATCCTCTGTTTCAAACAATGAAAAATCCACAGGTTTCTGTGAATCCGAATTAGTTTGGTTGGAAGAGTCATTTTGACATGAAACATCTACAGGCGTCAAGATATCATTAGATATAGCTGGTAACACAGGTCTGGTTGGAGCCTGTGTCACTGCCGCGGGTGGAGAGATGACTTTGTTATTTTGCCACCCATCATTTTCATACTCATGCTCTGACTGATCCGAGTCCGAGCTTTTATCATCAGCCTCCTGCTGTGCTCTCACTCGACGTTCTTCCTCTGCTCGTTGCTGGGCAGCAAGTTGTTTTTGTCTCTCATCTGCCCATTTCAGGACTCCTTCCTCTAAGGAGAAGTCATACTGAAAAAGATATCCACCATACAGCAAAATATCAAAGCAGACAAACAGTAAAACCAACTTCCGGTAGTACATGTACTTGCTTCTATGCTAAGTCTGTTTACGGTACTTCTGAATGAAATTTGACATTTACATTTGTTGCATTAAGATAGGAAGCTAAAGCTGATTCTAGCATTATACCACACTGATGACATTCACTTTTCATTTATTTACTTAGTCTTTTACATTTACTAGTATTTATTCTATGTACATTAATAGGTTAACCAGTACCTCTTCCTCCACTGCATGTGCTCTGGTCAGATTCTTAAAGTCTCTTGGGCTGATAACCTGAAATAAAGTTAAAATACCATTACTTACATGTAGATCTTTCATAAGAACATGAAGCACATGGGGGTCATGATTTTTACAAACTTGAACATACACTAGTAATGAAGCTTTCATGCAAGAGTTGCATCTTTTCTGGCCTGGTGGTTCTTGAGGATAAGGTTTTTCCATATTTTTTCCTATATATTCCTATGGAAAACTTTAATCACCTATTGCGACCCCATCATACATGTATCCCCGGGTATCATGATTTGGACAAATTTGAATCTACACTTTGTAATTAAGCTTCCACATAAGTTTCAACTGTTCTGGTTTGGTATTTCTTGAAAAGAAGATTTTTAAAGATTTTCATTTATATATTCTAATTTAAATCTTTGATTGCCTTTTGTGGTCCTAACTCCTAACCTACCTCTGAGGGTTATAACTTGAACAAGCTTAAATATACACAATGTAATGAAGCTTTCATTAAGTTCCATCTTTTCTGGCACAGTGGTTCTTGAGAAAAACTAATTCTTAATTATTTCCCCTTGAAAGAGGGTCTGGCCATTCATTTGAACAAACTTGAATCCCCTTCACCCAAGGATGCTCTGTGCTAAGTTTGGTTGAAATTGGCCCAGTGGTTCTGGAGAAGAAGATAAAATTAAGCAAAGTTTATGCCAACGCCGTTGACAGACAACAAATTTTGATCAGGAAAGCTCTATTCAGCTATCAGCTCAAGTGAGTTAAAAATGGCTTTCTCAAGTAGTTTGGATGTGTATATTAATTGAGCACAGCCAGCAGTACAGTAGGCTGCTCGCAAAGTGAGATATAACAAATGAGTAAGAACAGAGGAAATTGGAATTGAAATCTGCACACTGATCTAGCAAATTTTCAGGTTCCCACAATTTCCTGATTACCACAATACCTTGCAAATATTGACAATTTTGGGAAAAAAATATAGGAGATCAAGATTTAGTTCTTGCTGAGAGCTCAAAGGAAAAAGTTACTGTGTCCACCTCTTTTCTTAATAAATACACATGTATATACCAAAGCTATGCCTTTCATAAAATATTTGACAAGGAAGTCAGTATAGGTAAAAAGTATGTTTCAATACACTAGTTCTGAGTATACTAATGACTTGTCTACCATAATTTATCAAATTTCCTAATTTGCAACACAAAAAGTCAGAATAATGCTCCTACATTATTTGTGGAATTGCATCTAAAAATTTCAAAAGAGCCATTAAATACATAAATTTATCTTTTCCCAATCTTCAAAATTTCTGGAGCAAAAATATATATTTAATACCTTGTGTTTCTGTGTAAAATTTGGTCCAATTTTAAATGGTATGCCATCCAAACTTGAGTGACTGGAACTATATGCTACAAAAAGTCAATGATTTTTTAATTGTTTATCTGCATGTATATGACTACCATACAGAAAGCAAAGAGCTAGGTTCACTTTTTTCATTAAATGGCCCGACCTGCTCATATACTAATTAACTGACCAAGTCCCAATGCCCCATTTCAAACATCAATATAAAGTAAAGATACCAGAAGTGCTTTCATTCCTATAAAAAAGTTTCCCTTAGAGACAGGTATTGAAAAACGGGTTTTGTAAAATTGCACTGTTCTTGAATTTTGAAGAAAATGGGTGTATTTGAGTACCTTCATCAAAGAATTAAAATATGAGCTCACACCTTGATCCAAAAAATAAAATATGGAATTGTTCTATTATATAATTGAACATTTTGGATCAGAGGTTGGGGTCAATGCAAAATATTGAAAAATAGCTTAAATTTTTGGCCATTTTTGAAGAAATTTTCAGGATTTGAGGATAATGATGCAATTCATGATGTCATAATACCGGGACTAGCGAGAAAGTTATGTCAATTTTAATAGATATGCAATCACCAAGGGTCCAACTGAAATTAAATGTATTTTCAACTAAAACTGAGCAGTTTTGATTTTTCAGAAATTCACAGGGCCAAAAAAGGATTTAAGTGAACCTTGTTCATAAGCAATACATTAATAGAAACACCACAATGTTAAATAATGTACATTTGCTTATAATATTTAAAGATAAAAATAAAGTCTACAATTACAGATTCAGAATACATACCAACACTGTCTTGTCTTTGAAAAGTTCTATCCATTCTTCAGATAGGCATCTAAAGAGAATCAATATTACTCATTGGAATTATGTATATTATTATTATATTAAGGTTTTACGAATTTTTGGAAAATAGAAACCAGACATTAAAAAATTAAATTACTTAGTTATACTTCATAATTTCATTTTTTTCTTTATAGTAAATGAACAACTTTATAAATTCATTTAAAAGGGGAGGAACATGTTATAAAACAGGTTTGGAAAATCAAAATTAGGGATTTCACTTAAAACTTTTCATAAGCTCAGATTTGAAGATGTATTTTAGAATCACTTCACTGTAAACGTCAATTCATTATAAGCATATTCCCTACAAGTGTGTTTTACTGTAATCATAAAGTAATCAAACAGAAATCATGATAACAGGACTTTTTCAGAGTAACTGATTAAATAAGAATTAGTTGTAATAACAGGGACATTTATACTTAATATATTGGTCCTGGTATTAATCATAAAAATGAGTGATTACTGATTACTTATGATTACACAGCAAACCGTAATCAATTACAGCTGATAAATTACTATTACTGATAACAATCACCCCATCCCTGATCAGCACAGACCATAAATGTAATGCCATATTCTGGTTGGATTGAACAATTATTTTATTGTAATTTCTAATTATACAAAGGAATTGGACACAAGTTCTAAAAATTTATTACACCCTCTCCCTAACCATATTCTATATATAGTAATGTAACGTTTTAATTGTGCCATAGATATTGGCCTGTGAGCTCAGTTGGTAGAGCACCTGACTAGTGATGCTACTAAATATACTACCAAATACACAAAAGTTAAGAAAATAAAATAAGTAAATAAATAAAATACAAAAGAGTACTGAATCCAGGACATATTAAAATACAAAAATACATGTGTTTGAATATGTATTATCATATTATGTACTGCATAGGCTTCCTGATCATATATTTCATTTTATAACCAGCATCTCCAAATCATATTAAAGCTCATTGTAACTTCAGCCTTATTCAACAAAAATATGCATTTTCTGTTTTTATATGTCTATGATACATTAAAAAGTATATATGTCACAATTACGTTCCAAAACTTCTGTCTAATAGATAGATTGACTCACTTCGTTTGTTGATATAAACTTTTTTGCTTCTTTTAATTAGGTCGATAACAAAGCTGATTTTTCGCCAACTGGCATCAAATGAATTAACTGATTATATTTCCTATCTATTTTTCTGCCATGTTCATGATGTCATTGTCAGCTGCACAAAAGGGATATCACTCTAATAAACTACCAACATGGAATACCGATCCCGATCAAATTAAACTTGATGGAGAAATTTTTAAATCATTCTAACCCAAACAGACACACATCAAATTGAAAAAAAAATGACTTGTTCTATTTCATTATCCACATGAATTCACACAAATAACTTCATTTTGGCTGTTCTTATGACATAATGTGACACTGAGAAAGTTTTGACCGCTGAAAATGTTGACCCTCTCCACTGAAAAAGAAGTCTCTTCCAAAAATCACAGACACCTGGGTCTTGGTTTATAAATATGTATACCTAAAGGTACTTAAAAAAGCGACTTTTTTTTTTTACATATCAATAGGTATACATATTTATAAATGAAGACCCAAGTATCCGTGCAAAAAATAAATTTTGAAGTTAAAACAAGTAAAGTTAAACATATCCCCCTCCATTCTTATAATAATCCATTCAACCCACCACAAGAAAGTTATTAACTTAACATCTTATTACATCTCTATCAAAGTAGATTATGAAATTGCTTTTATAATAATCTATAAAAATATTGTTGAACTTCGCATTTCTTCAAAGTAATTAGATTACCGTGCATGAATTAAAATCTTAAACAAGGAACTCAAATTTCAAATTCGTCAGATTAACACACTATACGTTTTTGAAAAGATATGTGGTTTTTAACTAATTTAGTAATTTAAAAAAGTACAATTGTACAAATGTAAAATTACCTCAAGTTTAAATTGCTAAACATAGGGTTTGTCACCCCCCCCCCCCCAACACACACACAAGGGTGATTAAAAAATTGGAAACTGTACGAAACCACACAGGATTTGCATTCAGTCACTTGATTTGTCATTTACCAGTACTAACTCTGCCTCAAGCAAGTCAACTAAGATTCTGGAAAGATTCTTTTCCTAGAAAGTTCAGTGTTGTTTAAATACAAATTACCAGGGATTTCCAATAGACTTTACGGGACGACCATTTGATTCTGTCTGGCCATCTTGGAAATAAATACATGTATTCTTTCCTGCGAGAGAATCTGACTTAACAAAATTTGGCGCCCCCTTATAGAATCAAATGGTCGCCCACTAACATGTAGCCAGTTTTTGAAAGCAATTCAAATAGGAAAGTTGTTTTTCAAATTCATGATCACATGTAAAATTTTGGGTAGTGGAGCTTAAACGGGGTATAACAAATCTTGAGGATAATGAGCGCCCTGAAAGACCTCTAGATCTATTCTGCATATATGCTGAAATGAGTCAGAAAGTCCATGATTTATCAAAGGCACTTGAAATGTAGATACCTTTCCCTTCCTTTAATTACCAAAAAAATACTAGTAGTTATTTCTCAAAAATATGAGGCTCCCCGTCAAGCACATCCATATGTTTTACTATGAGACAGCACTTATAATCCCAAATAAAAAGAGCAAATTATGGATGGGTAAATAATGGAGGGGTCACTATATCCGAAAAAATCCTTGGGCGGCCATTAGCTGGAAAGGCCATGGCCGCATTTTAGGATTATAAGGGCACACTGATAGAACAGTGGAGGGTCCAGAATTCTTGAAAGGGGGGGGGCAGCTGATGGTCGGGGTGGGGGCCCAGGGACCAAACCCCAAAAATTGATTTATTAATTATTATGTATATTTTTGGACACAAGGGGGGGGGGGCTGCCTCCTCTAAATCCGCAAGTGTAGAATCCCCCCCCCCCCCCCCGGGCCAAATTATCATTGGTCATAATGCTTTAATCTAGTGGTCCATTTACCGGAAGAGTTATCCAGGGAAATGGAGTGCAAGGGTCAACATTCCCGGCCTCCTTTATTCATAGTATAGTTTAAAGTCTTTTTAGTGATAAGAGAGTAGGACCTCCCCCCCCCCCCCCCCCCAATCGTTTCAAAGTTATCCTTATCCAAAATACTCTATGGACATTGCCCAACAATTACTTCCAATTTCTTACTCTATACTAGAGTTGTCCTGTTGGGACTTATACATTCCCCACCCTCAGCCGGGACACAAAAACATGCAACTCATTTATAGCTAGCCACAGATGCAACACATCCACATGATGTGGATATACCGGTATATCCATACATAAAAGCCAGAAACTGAATAGCTTTTAGCTGTATGCCACTGCCCCACCAACTTTATTGCGGGAGAATAAAAGAAAAGCTCTGATAACATCACATCCAATTCTGACTGTTAGGGAGTGCTGTGAATGTAAACCTCCTGAATTGTTCCAGGCATTGGAACAAAGATGACAGAAGTTTGCATGTAATACTAAAAGGAGATTATGAAGAAAAAGATAAAATCCAAAAATAGTTAAGGCCAGTTATATTTGTACCACCTCCATATGAAAATAACTAATTCAGACCGTGGGGATTAATATTTATTCATAATTAACACAACCAACAAACATTTTATTTAATAAGAATGCCTGTATCAGTAAAATTCTGAAGAAATTTGCAAATTAACAAAAAAGAAAAACGCCACAAGAAAAAAGTTTTTTTGACTTTGATAATGTAAAAAAAAAGTTCATAACATAAAGGATCAACTTACAAATTTTCATATGAATTACTGATAGCTGATGTATATAACTAAAGAATTCACTTCAGGTAATTTTTCTTTATGCTTATGTTTATTGCATTGTGTTAAAAAATAAATTAAAAAAAAAAACTGCTTGAAATTCATGCCAGCCAACTGCATAAAAAAATGGTCTATTCTTATAAAGTATTTTTTTCCCAGCACTATTAAATATGGAAAATTATTTGCCTCATACTGTATCATCACTCGAAAAAAGAATGCCCACATATACATGTATCTGCAAATGCTTGAATTCCATTGTTATGTCTTGCAGTGTAAAACGTGTGCTTTTAAGGTAAAAAATTCTCAGAAAAAAAAGATCCAAAGAAACTGTTACTGAGTGAAATAAAAAAAAAAATCCTATACAATATTGTATATGTACAGCATCTGTAATGTAAACCACTACATGGCTATGATTCATATTTTGAGAAAAATTACATACAGTACATCTTTTTTTTCCTTTAGATTTGTTTATACAGCACCAAAAAAGGCAGCAAAACAACACACAGGAAGCACCATAGACTTCTGTAGCCATGACTACAGAACACAATGTCCTTCAGCTGATGTATAAATATCAGCTTCTTACAGTGAGATGGCATTAGATGACCTCACAGGGGGAACTAAATAAGTACACATGCTTCAATTATGGAGAATCTACTGTAAAATAGAGATGGCACTGTGACTATAGACTCCTCTGACTGTTCATTTTGGTGGCCAGTAGCACCACTGCTTGGATTTCCTCTATATTATTCAAAAGACAAGCCTTCTATCCTTGACCACCTTCCATTGACATAGCTATTGCCTGTTTTAGCATTTCATCCTCTGGCATTTCATCTGAAAAAAAAAGAATGAAATTTTGTTTTTCTGAACAAACCAAATCTGGAAATATAATTCCATATTATACAAGTAAATATGAGATCTCTAGATATTAAAATACTGTAACCTACTTTGCGACTCATTCTAGTATGCGTTATCCTGTCACATGCAATTGTGAAATTCCCCTGTAAGTTTCCTTATTTATTTAGTAATTACCTGTTGATGTATTATCCAGTCACCATAATACTTGTATTTACCTCTCATTATCCTACATTTAGTTTTTATTTAATCAGGAATTTTGATGCTCTCTGACGGTCTAAGACTCAAGTTCCCTGAGGTGTACCTAGTGAGTTCACCTCAAAATGAAGTTCCGAAAGGTTCATTGGGGGTTTCCCTCCTGACCAACCATAGATTTGCTTTAACTGTGACCAATCAAATTGTGCATTTTAAATCATTTGTTGCTGGGAATGTTAACATAGCAGACACCAGTACCAAAGAGACTAAACTCCTCTATTAGTAAATTTATATCTCAGAAAAGTTGTGGAACTTACAAACACAAACACAATAGCTTTTAGCTATCATTAGGAAGGGAATGTACAAAATGTCATAATTCTTTTTTCCATTCATGTAGATAATTTTCCTATTTTTTCAAAATTAACCATATAATTTTCTCTTCACTTTGTTGTCTCCTTCTTTAGTTCAGTGAATTCTGTATGACTCTTAACAGTTGTTTATTTTCAAAACTTCACCCCAGCAAGGTTTACAATGGTTTAACAGTGTACCTTCTGAACATTCTTCCACTGTCAGTTTTTCCTCTACTAAACCTCCTTTTTCCATTGGCTGAAGTTGGTCCGTTACACAAGTCTGGTTCGGATTCTCGAGATCAGTATTGGCTGTTTGGTTAGGATTCTCACAATCGGCATTGGCAGTCTGGTCTAATCGCTGTAGAAAGGCCAGTCTCTTCTGTCTCACCTCCTCTTGTGAGGGAGGTTTAACTTCTTTGGACACGGTTTCTAACTTCTCTTCACTTGGTCCTGGAGTATTGTCATCTTCTATTATATATCCTAATAAAGAGTGTAAGAATTATTGATATATATACCTTTCAATTCAAGCACAACAACACCTCATAAATTTAAACCCATACAGAAAGTAATTGAGTACATAAACAGACACCAAAGCTACATTTCTTTTTTTTTTTAATATTAAATTACTGGTATCCCAATACAGTGATATTATTTTCTATGTACCTGTATTTATTCAAAGCAACTTATCAATAGCATAAGGAATAACTTGAGCCAGGTACCTGGTACTTGTAATCAACACATCCAAATTCGGATCAATAGGTAGCACAGGTACCTGGCCTGTCAATCAGATCAGTAGCTATTGTTTCTTGTATGATTGTATTACCGGTAGGTAGATTTTAGGGGAGTTAATGTAAAATTGTGGCTTTGGAAAGATTTTCGTATTTCAAAGGCAGTTTTGAAAAGTATTCATTTTTTTTAAAGATACTTTTTATAATTTTTCATGTACAATGCGACGTCATAAATTGTCTCAATATGAAACGTGTCAGACATTACCCTCTAAGCTCATCTGTAGTGCTCTCTGTAACATTTTATCGTCCTTCTCATCCTCACAGCGACTCTCCATCAGAGCTCGCTGTAACTCAGGGTCATCTGTCTGGGCGTCAGACTTGCTAATAGATTGATTTTCATTAATTAGGCGAGGTTTGATGAGTTGTACTGCTGGGGCCAAGTTAAGGATATCATCTGCTTCACACTCTGGTAGTCGACCAGTTACAATAAATATAGAGTATCCTGTTAAACAAAGAAGATTGTGTTTAATTCTTCAATTAAACAAAATAAAAAATATATCGGTGCATTAATTTGGTGCTTGATATTTTACTAGGTATTCACATCTTGGCCAGTTTAAGATGATTTATGTGCATGTGCTCATAGGCATTTCTTGTAAACATGTACTTTACAGCTGATCATGGGTATCTCAAACACTTTTATCTCATACTTTCATACCATGGGTATGTCAAATTGTTTAGAAGTCCCAAGCACTTTATCTTAAAAGTATCATACCCTCAATTTCTCAACCCTTGGATATCTTGAAGTTTTTCTCAGTCCCACTGACTTCAAGATAACGAGGTTCGACTGATATTTACATTCAGAATCATGTTAATTTCTCTAAAAAGGGTATAAAATTTACAACACATGCATTCATTATAAAAATGAGACTCCTTTCATTTTAAATGTTTTTTTTTTCTTTTTCAGATTTCATACGTTTGACATCAATCATAGAAAGAACATAAAACCTGTACAAAGTACAATGTAGGTGTTAATATCATGATCTGTAAATAGAGTTAATTCTCTTTGCATGTCAATATACTGACAGTAGATAGAAAAATGTGAAATCCATCAATGACAGATAATTCAGAGATAATATCACTTGCCTTCTTGTTGGAGCTGTGTAAGGAACAGAGACAGATAAGTGTCAGAAATAAGTTCAGGACCAGTCAAGAGAGAATTCAGATTAAACCACTGTTTTCCAATCTTCCTGATGCAAAACCAATGGTCACGAAAATTGCAGATATAAGCATTCTGTGCCCTGAAAGGAAAAAAGAATTTCTTGCAAAAATACTTGTCATGTATTTTATACTGCTTTTACTATTAATAATTGGGGCAATTATTGAGTGAATCATTCTGAGTGCCTATTGATTACTCCAAGACTACCGGTACATCAGATGTTTGTAGGATATGGGGGAATTCTAGTTTTTGAGAAAAAGAAATATAGAGGGAGGGAGGAGGAAAAGTTCCAAAAGTTACCTCTATAACTGAAAAGCTGTCAATTGATTTTTTTTCAAACTTTGAACATTAAATAAATTTTTTCTAGCCCCCTGAGCTGAAATTTCTAATATTTCATATATTGATTTTTTCAAAACTTAACAAAGAATTGCTTGTTCATATACAATGCGTATACACTACATTTTTTCCCATGCCACACTTATCTAAAGTTTAAGCGTGTATGGGAGAGGGGATGTCATGCACTGAAATGAGGGCACACTATACCTCACAGATATAATTATACTTCTAGCAGTATGAAACTAAAAGATCTTTAGAAAGTTTCAAGAGGTATTCTTTGTAATAAACTCAGTTACTCACACTGGGTTCTGTCGAGCTTCCCTTGCAATAGTATCCTGAGAATTATACTGCACTACATTTAACCCCCATACTTGTAATGCTTTGTCTATGACTTGTATGGAGAAAAATCCACTGTCATCAAAGTTGGAAGAAGCTTGCTAATTAAAAGAAAGGAAAAGGACAAAATTTGTAAAGCTCATTCAAAAAAAAAAAAAAAAAAAAATCACACATTATCACATATCTAGCAAAACATTTAGCATCATTACAATATTGAGTCCATTTTGTCTTTGCATCCAAAAAATATCTATTAAAATTAAGTGTTGTGTCCTTAGACAAGGCACTTTATCTGCATTGTCTCAGTCCACACAGCTGCAGTGGGTACCAGAGGTTAACCTGTGATGAACTGGTGTCCCATTCAGGGGGGGGGGGGGGGGGGGGGTAAATGACTCACATCTGCTTAGCACCACAGAAACTTCAGTAAAAGCAACAGCCTTAGGAGTTTCAGGGCTCGCAGAAGGATTTAACTTTTTAACTTAACAAAAAGATATTGAGCAGACCTGTATAAATCTCTGATACTCTATACTCTGGGTTCCAGCTTCTGCCATCTGTAATCGCTCTGATTCATCAAGCTGACGCGCAATGTCTGCTAAGTCAACTGCACTAAAATACTGTCCCTGTAGCAATGCATTTAAACAATGCTGAGCACATAATGACCCCTCTTGCTGTAAAATAAAGAAAATTGTAGAAATAATTTTTTATCACTCTCATTATGAATAACAAAATATTTCTAAATCATTTTCTCCATATTTAGAATGTCAAAACTTTCTTGACATTTTTTGAGAGAGACACTGGTAAATCACAAATTCTTGGGGTCATGTTTTGAACCAACCTGAATATACACTACATAACATAATGATGCTTAAAAATATTTATATATGATGCAGGGCTGGAAATTAACATATGCCCATAAGTCCATGACTGATTAAATTCCTGGCAAACTTGATATTTGCCTCAGTCAATTTTTTAAACTTTAATTTTGAATTCCCATATTATTGTATATTTAGCACTTGCTTGTAATGAATGAATGACAAAGCAGTTTCGATTGAAACACATTAACAGTAAATTTCAAGATCCAAAATGCCTTTTTTGCAACTAGTCTGACTCTGAAGTATCTGACATTTTCCAGGCTTTTGATGTTTAAAGTGCCAGGAAAATTTCAGAACCTGTGCCATTATGAAAAGTGGAAATTTTGCCTCCTCCATCTGGATTCTATTTTTTGATATTTGTGATCCAAATTAAATGTCTAACACACAATGATTCTTGTACTCTCAAATACAATGTATTGCTTAATACTAGTTATCCAGGTTCCATCAAGGGTGTATGAGGATTTACCCCAGGTTTTATTCCAAACACCCTGAGGCCGAAGGTAAATCCCCGTACACCCTTGATGGAACCTGGATAACAATTTTATTTCCTACGTACCCAAATCAAGTCAATCATGTAAACAAGTCCAATCAACTGTTTCAAGCTATCGATAAGATTTTACTATATGCATCATGACGTCATGTCATTTGCTTTTTATCATAGAAGAACTATGCATTGTGATGTCAGGTTTTTTACCCCCAGCTTAAGTCCGGTGTACGGAAATTTACACCCGACTTTGTAACCAATCAAAGCTTACATAGGAAATAAAAGAAAATATCACTTCACATTTCAATACCAATCTCGCTGAGTCGCAAGATTTCAAAATACTCAAAATCAAAAGAAACCTAGTAAACAGTCTCATAAAATATTTTCAACAGACTGTTTATTATTATAAAAGAATAATTAAAGCTATACTGATGAGTACTAGAAACATTGTGCTACTGATAGATTGTGATTTTGACATTTAATTCTGTTTGCATGTATCCAAAATTGAACCAAGAATGCTGCCTTTTGTTGGAAGCAGCAAAATTTCAAGTTATTATAATGTCAATGCAAAATTGCACTTGTTCTGATTTTTTTTCAACAGGTGGAAAACTTTAAAAAAAAATTAACTATGCAATTTTTCCATTTTCTCTGATAAACAAATTCGGGCAAAATATTAAGAGCTTATATTGGTCTTTTAATGGAAATCATATGTCAAAAGCATCCATTTAATAAATTTTTGGTGTGGCATACCCCCTTTATGATGACTGCAATCTGGGTATGGACTATACATGTTATTACATCTATGAGCTTTAATACACTTTATACCTATAAGAATTCCATGAGAGTAAGCGAAGAGATGGGCCTAAGTATTTAAAGTAATTTTTATTTACATTGCATTTTTGCGAGATGTGAAACTAGTATCTCATAAGCAGCTGATAAGGACTGGTTTCCTTTGCCAGATTTAAACTGTCACAAATTCTTGTAATTTAATTATTTGTAGTCTATGTTAACGTAAAGAATAGACGACAAAATAACTCACTTCTTCGTGAAATATTGCGTCCATAGCCCTTTTTTTCTCTCTCAAGTTTTTCTAATCATATTGTTTACGAATAATAGGAACTTCGATCCCGATTGAAATACCTAATAAGAAAAGCTGTGGGCCCTAAGACAGTTTTGACTGTATGTGAAAGTCCAAGAGTGTTCAAATAGCAAATGGGTGAAGATGGCACAAAAATACATACCGAAACGCTGCTTTCATTGTCTGGAATCAGTTGTCCATACCACAACATTCTTTAACTGAGTGAAATGGTCATCTCATAAATGCAAAGATTTTTTTTATGAATATTTTTTTTTAATTTAAAAAAAAAACTAAAATAGCTTACTGACTTTTCTTCAGATGTTTAGTTAGATCAATTGATTGATTAGTGCTTAGCACCGAGTCGGCAATATTTCAACCATATTTCGGCGGAAAATTAAGTTCATATGATCGGTTTTTGAAAGATTTTGGTTTCTCTAGCGGCAATGAGATGACCATTTCACTCATTTAAAGAATGTTGTAGTATGAACAACTAATTCCAGTTGATAGAAGGTTCACAATGGCACTGTGTTATAAATATTTTGTGATTAAATTTTATTTAGTGGTATAGGAGGAGTTGCAGATAAGACATGGGCCCATGTTTTGCCATGTGTCGGATAGAAAGGAAAATAGAAGATGTACAATGCCACTTTATACATGTAATAAAGATTTTGTGAAAGTTTCATTTAATATTACATTGAGTGGATAAGGGATGGTTATCATAAGAGAAACGGACGACGTATAAACCAGCAAAAAAAAAATAAATAAAAATTAAAAAAAAAAAAATGAAAAATAAATAAATAAATAAATAAATAAATAATAATAATAATAATAATAATAATAATAATAATAATGAAAAATAATAAATACATGTAAATAATAGCCATGGGATATCCCAAATATATGTCTGATCAAAATATAAAGCAGGAAGTGCATAATGGCACTCGATCTGTAATAAAGATTCTGTGAAAGTATCATTTTTATAGTTGCGGATAAGAAATGAGTACCCCCGATAGAAAGAATGACAGTGTCCATGCTTTGTGTAATAAAAATTGAAAGTATCATTATATTTTTTTTTTATATTGAAAGTATAATTAAATGTTATTCGTTGGTATTGGAGAAGTTGCGGATAAGAGATGGGTACCCCAATGCTTAACGGACGGACGTACAAACGGACGGAAGAATATACACCCCCACCACAATACAGCCCCTGCTTTTCAATGATAATAATACTCACTAGTTTTTTTTATGTTTTTTTTTTTGCTGCACGATAATATTTTACGTGTATTTTCTGCACGTTAAAAACATTTGTTGTTGTTTTTTTCTGCTATATACAATGTTTTGATTTTTTTTTGAATATTTTGTCACATGCAATTGAATTATAAAATTGAAAAATAATAAACATAATACAGGGGTAATAATAATAATAATATGACAAAAAAATTCTTTTGATTGCATTATCTTTTTAGAATAGAAGAAAGCACACAAGGAAAAGCGATCATGTATTTTCTCAGGGACGATATAGCTACAAAGAGAGATTTTGGAAGTCATAATCTCAAAACATATTTGCATGCATAGAAAGTAGCTATTTAAAGTCAAATTTTTATCAGGTATATTGAAAATACGACTAATCTAATGAAATGAGACACTGCTTATTCTTTTCTTCCTCTTTTTTCGTTACAATATTCTTTGCTATTGGATTGAAGTTTTATTTGAAATCATGTTTAATTTTGCCCTGTTAAATTTATAATAACAATTGAACTTCTTCAGAAGTTGTCTCGGCTTCCTTTGATCAAATTTAAGCCGCAATGCAGTACGATCAGTGGAGTACATCGAGAGATATCGATCGTTTAGATCGATTGCCCGATAAACCGATTGCTGAAATGTCGCATTGCGACACAAGCGGTTACCCTTGACCGCAATAAAATCCCTTTTAATTGAAGTTCTAATTGATTAAACAAGCCTAATCTTTTATTTAAAAGAAATTGATTTACATTTATATAAAAGAAGTATAACAATACTGGTAACTTAGAACAAACAAAGAAATGTTTCGAAGGAGCAGGGTATCTGACATAATATCCTCGATCAAACACATAGACAAATTCAGTAACGAATCCATTTTAGCCAAATATGACAAGCCACTTAGCAAGCCATGGTCATTTTCTATTGGTTTTGGCCGCAAATTGTCATCTGCGGACCATTTTAAGTGGCAATCGTCTGTTTAATTGCCCTTAGTTGTTATTGAACGGTCACCTCGAAGGCTCTCCAAGAGAAAAACAACAAAGCATCAAATCCATCGATTGGGTTACGTTAATCTATACATATACTTCCCAAAGGTCAATTTTTATTTATCTCTGGAACCAAATATTTTACGGCTTAAAAAAAAAAAAGAAACTTAACACGACGTCTTCACTCTGTTGACAGACGACAAAGACGACAAACAGATTAGAATTAAATTAGCCCATATGATTAAGAGAAAAAATCCCTTTATTTAATTATAGATCCTGATCAATAAAGGGTACACAATTGGAAATAATCAGGCCACCGGCCGAGAGGCAATGTCACTATATATATTTCGGGTGTCGCACTGCGGCATATCTCTATAACGACTATGTATGTATGAATTTACATTATACCACTAATAGATACATTAACACAGGAACAATGAGAAATTATTGACCCGAAATTCAATGCAAATTGTTACTGCACAGTTATTTTCTCAGGTGCCCAATACGAAGGTCATAGAAGATCCAGACATATATAAATTCTTTACTGCGACAAGGAAACGTTTTCACCACAATTGAATACTTTTTTTGGTATTGATTTGTAAAACTTCGTCTAAGCAGACAATCATAGAAGAGTTCATGAAGTGTACAGAATTTCCAACATCAAAACATTTTGTAATGTGACAGCCAGACTAGTCATATTGTTCATACACGAAACTGGAAAATTTGCTAACCAGCGTAAATGTTTGGATAGGAAATAACATGAATATTTCAAATCTAATATTTAGCTAAGAGTTATGACAGTTAACTCTCCTTCGAGTGAACCCCTAACATCAAATAACACATTTTGTCTTGCAGTAGCTGTTCATAATGATACATTTATTGACTGGGTTCACATACATTTACTCGGACCCGAGAGCCAAACTGTAACAAACACATGAACGATATATGTAAAACATCCTTATTCTGACCACACGTACAATTAGAAGAAGCAATAATATTAAAAGCAAGAAAGTTAATGACTAAATCTAAAGCTAGATAAAAAACAATGTCCAAGATTCTAATAATTTAGTGCCTGATTACTCAATGGACATACTTCCAGAAATGTAAAACATTATTATATGATTGAATAATTCCCATCTCTCTGATTGGCTGAGATTCATCGATGTTTAAAAAAATACTACTTAAAATTGGCCTGCACGTGACCTTCCAGGTCAATATAAGGAATTATTTCCAGGTCAATATAAGGAATTATTTATTCTACATTGGACCAAAAATAGATAATCATATAATAAAACAATTATTGCTCTCTTTTGAGGTCAATACGATGATTTAGACACCTTCGGAGTACAATATATTTACCTCGCCCTTCGGGCTCGGTGAATATTGTACTCATCAGGTGTCTAAATCATCGTATTGACCTAAAAAAAAATAGCAATAATACATGATATTTATTCGTCAATATACTTACATGACGTATAAAAATAGTGGGTATAAATTTGATGAATGAAGCTCTACTTACAAGTATTGCATGTATGGTAATTATGCAGTTATTTTGGATTATCGGTTTAGATGCATACAATCCCAAAAAACTTACTAAGAGTGTGTATATTAACTTTCTTTTTATATTTACTTGTAAGCATATTAACTTATCTGATTTAGTTCTAAGTGCAAATCAGAGGATTTATATGACAATTATCTATATGATGCCACATCACTACAATCTAATATACATGTATGACCAATCAGCATTTTCATTTCTTTCTTCCAAACTTGTGCTTTGCACCTATAATTTAAAGATATTTAACGTCGCACATACTCTAATTTTAAATGCTGGAAATCTGTTCTCCACGGTCTTGTACTTTTACCCAAATCCTACTTAAAGGTCTAAGGCGATAATTGAAGTATAATCGCGGCAGGTCAGCTCATTTGCAGATTTATGACTATAAAATTCATGAGTACCTTTTGCATATCTTTCTATTTATACAAAATTTTTAAACCCTTCTGTGCACAGCAGTAGATATGTTCAGCGAAAGGGTAAGTGGCCTTTTTTTTTTTTTTTAATTTGAAGCAGCCCTTGAAAGTTTTGCGACAGTGAATTAGTGTTAACGAGAACACTAGTGCTTTCGTAGGAATAACCTATTGTTCAGCGGAATATCATTATCAGTACAGGTATAGACTAAACCAATAATTAATGTTTGATATCTTGATGGGAAAACATCTTGATGTCTCTTGCAATTGAGAACATAAATGAGTTGTATGCATGGACACATGGAAAAATACCAAAGTTTTTGAATGGAAGGGGACATTGGCAGATTGGTTTAAATAATCTAATCAGGTTGAAGTAGAATAAGGCAACATATAGGTCTGTAGTACCGAAGAGTGCGCATTCAATACCATTTCTGACCTTCGGCTCAATTTCTGGAGGCCATCTCTTCAAAACACTATAACGTTGCACAAATACAATGTCAGTTGACAGGAATGCCCTGAAAGCACAGCTAGAGACTGGGCTTCCAGAATAAATTGTTCATAAACAATCTAACCCCTCAACCTTGACTTCTCCCACAAAGATAAAGCCAAACTCATTATGGGTAGGCTATATCAAGATGTGTTATATAGATATCATTGAAACTTTGATACAATCATGAATATGATTTGTATACCGTCTTTTCATGCAGAGTACTGATATACAATTCGAGGTGTCGGAGAGACATGAAACCTAGGACAAAATGCTGGTTTGTTTTGGTTTAGGGACACAAATTTGTCATTTCCGGTTGAAGTTAAAATGGTAAGATTTTTATTCTTATATTTGTAATCTTTTTCTTTGTTTTCTTTGACTCTGTTAGACATGTTTATTTAGCCAATCTTGTCTTTGTGCATAAACTATATTTTTGTCATTGGCGGTACCATGAATTTGCTTGAATGACAAACAAAACACTATGTCAGACAACACAATCCTTATACATGTATCTGTGATGAATGTGTTTGACACTATGGTGACATATTTCTGCCGCCTACATACAAGATAAATTCTGTCAACATGCAATAAAAAAAAAACATGTCAACATGCACGATAATTATGTCTACGTGCAAGATATTGAATTAACATGAAAGATACCAATCATTTAAGAGAATCTGATTTTAATATTGTTGAATTTACTTACTAATGAAATATATGGAGATAACGAACAGTATTCAAGCTAAAAAGTCCATTAAACAATACAAAATAGGAGCATAGCAAACACGGACCTCCAAACATCAGAGGTGGGATCAGGTGCCATGGAGGAGTGAGCATCCCCTGCCGACCGGTCACACCCGCCGTGTGCTCCTTGCCATGATCGGGAAATAACGGAAAAATCCATCGACAATTCAGTGTGTAAATAATGGCCTAACAATTACTATGAAAAACGTCAGTCAGCATTTGACTCGGTGATAAATTGTATTTGCTGACAAGGTCATTGTATCGACCACAGAACTTACGAAATGATGACTTTAAACGAGACAGCTGATATTCTTGTTTCATCAACTTGTTTGTCAATAATTTACCTCGTTTTAGAAATTGTACATACGTAGGGCATGCTCTTGCGTATCGAGTCAACTGAGAGATACATACCCTGTATGCAGGTGATGAAGGTATATTGCTACATAAGTAAGGGATCGAAGTTGACGACTGAAAAGTTAAAGTCATCACGTTTATCATACAGCTTGGTTGTAAGATTACCATTAACGTCTTTTTTCAAGTAAAATATCCAAAAATGAAACAGATGTGTCAGACTCTGTGGTATCCTTAATCTCAAGCTCACCGGGATATATCGTATTGACATAAGAATGGAAATAGCCATTGTTAATTAACAATACGTCGTCGATATATCTAAATGTCGAGTTGAAGGCCACAGCAAGTGTTTTCTTCTTTTCACGTACAAGATTTTGGACAAATTCTGCTTCATATGAATACAAAAAAAGGTCTGCTAATAACGGGGCGCAATTGGTACCCATGGGAATTCCAACAGATTGTTGGAAGACCTGGTCTCCAAAAAAAAAAAAACCACATAGATATTGTCAATCAGAAACTCAAGCATCTTTTTAATGTCAACTTCAGAGTACTTGTGTGTACAATCAGAGTGTTTTTTAACAAAATAATTTTGCAAATGACCAATGACAAGGTAAGTAAATTTACGAGTTCCATTTTTATTGAAAAAGCAGCTGTCAATGATATCAAAAAGCCTGGATGTTGCAAGTTATTTATGTCGACATAGAACATTATGTTAGCATGCGACTAATTTATGTCGACATGCGAAAAAATTATGTCGACTATTTTTTATGTCAATATGAACAATAATTACGTTGAAATGCAAGTTAATTGTAAAAACATGCAATAAAACTAGTCACATGTCAACATAATCAACTTGCTTGAAACAATTATTAATTTGCATGTTGACATACGTATGCTGCATGTCAAAATATTTAACTCGCACTTGAGCATAAACTACATAACTTGCGTGACAACATAATTATGATACATGTTGACATAAATAAGCTGCATGTCGATATAAATATCTACATCTTGCAAGTATGATGTCAGATCTAGGTGTTAATAAGAAAATTTAACCATATTAAAATCAGATTTTGTAAAAACTTTGGTAATTTGCATGTCAACATAATATTTGGTAGAAATACTTATCTTGCATGTAGACATAATTTATGTAGGGTCTGTAATATACCACCACATAACAATTAATCGTATTCATGAAAAAAAACTATATTTTTACTTATTCATATAGAACAATTTAACCTCTGAACAAGTCGCTGGTAAGTATACAAACCTGCTTCTTAATGTGATTTGTTTGATTGATACTGACGTAACACCTCCATTTAACACTCTAATCCCGTCTGAATGACAGACTGGCAAATTTAAGCTCTCGTACAGTATTCTCTAAAATATCTGCCCCGTAGGACAATAGTATCTATCCTGAAGAAAACAGGAAAAATCTCCAATGGATTATGCTTCTATATGAAAATTCAAGTCTATTACAATATATTAAAATATATTTGATATTTGTGTTAATTCAACATCAAGGAATCTGTGAAGCCATGTTTCTATTTAAATTGGGTACTAATTTTACAAATAAATGATTTCTGCAAACAATACAAATTACAAATGCTCACTGCAGATGACTTTTAAATTACACCATGTTCAAGTTCAGGGTTCAAGTTTAAATTTGTTTTATTACGCTCACACCATCAGTCAGTGGAACATGAGATACAAATGAGATACACAAGTCGTCATAATAAAATAAGAAATAAAAAAAAAAGATACAATAGCAATTATAAAGCATTTTAATATAAATTATAAACTAACTATAGATAACAAATTAAAGCAACAAACACCCAACGAAAACAAAAGAGGAAGAATTAATTAGGAACTGTAAATTATGGGGGACATAATGCATTGTATATTTTAGATATGAATATACAAAGATTTTTTTTAAAAATTTAAAAACTTGTGCTTGTCATATTTGCACTAAACTTACGTATTATGGAATTTCACAAAATCTGGGAAGTAAAAGGTTCTTCCTAATATCAAACAATACTTTACGTTTTAAAATGAGATGTAATTCCTTTACTATAACTGACCTGAGTTTCATAATGCAAAGTCTTTTTGAATGCGATAAGGTTGGATTTTGATGAAGTAGTAAAACTCAAAGACTCAAAGAGAGACATCTTAATTTGCACGATTTTATTTTGTGTGGTTAAGAGCCATTCTCTGTAACGACTTGAACTTTTATATAGGAGCTGTGGCACGCATAGTCTCAGAATTTCTCCAAACTCTCTATCATAAAAGTCTTTGATACCGTAAACTCAAATCAGGCAGAAATTGGTTGCTACGCGTCATGGTTACCATGGCAACATGTCCTTAAGTTTGAAAAATGGCATTTTTCAACATGTTCAGAGTCCCACAGTTAACGTTTGCAGCAAAGCAAACAAGTAGCAATGATTGTTTCTGAAAGTTGAAGGCCTGATGTCTTAAATGCATGATAAACATGTTTGGTAAATCAACTATTACATACGTTACTATGGAAACAAAGTATTCAAAAGTAATAATTTTGCTCATTTAATTTTACACAATCATACACTTAAAAATAAAAAAAAATTATAGGTTGAAATGCAAGCAAGTAATAGACAAAAGATCCTTGTAACATATACCAAGGAAGAAATATGATATTTCTTATAGGTTAGCAATGGTTGCCATGGTTTTAATACCACAAAAGGATTTTAAATTTACTCTCTTAGTGATTTAGTCTTATCCTATCTTTTTAAAAAGCATATTTCAATATAACTAATGATCAATTTTTAAAGATGTTCATGTGACCCTAATTTTAACAAAAAATTCAAATTCAATTCTTTAAATAGAGCGTTGCTATGGAAATAAGTCGAAAAAATATGCATAAAAATCTGAAAAATATTCTGTTTCCTTGGATACGTACCCTTGTATATAGATTCCCAAAACTTTTATGATTGATAATTATGAACAACTAACCTGACTTTAAATTTTGACTGCCACCCAATCTCTAACTGGATGCAAAAAGCTGGCACATAGGGTTTAATATTGATATAAAATTCACAAAATCGAACATTTTCCCTTCTTGGTTACCATAGCAACAGTGTTATATTTTTCAACAAACTTTATCAATATATGATATTCAACTTTAGTTCTACCAGATAAGTACTATTCAAGGTGATTCAAATAATATATTTCTTGAATAAAAGATAAGAAAGTTCCTAAGGCAGCAAAAAAATATCACTTTAAACAACTGGTACATTGTTTCCATGGTTACACTGCAAAGTAACAATTAATCCCAATTTTTCTTATGTTGTCGGTGTTGCAAGGTCCTAGGGATGTATTTGTGCCAGTCATGAATTTTATTGTTTTTCCTGAAGATAGTAGCATTAACCCAATCTAAGCAACAGATTTTGCATGGTTACACTGTGTTACCATGGCAACCATGAAAGTTATTTTTAGAATAATATTGCCAATACCTAATTACTTAAGGTAAAATATTTTTATTGTTTTTTCTTCGGTTGTTGATTGAGTTTGATCATTTAACACCTATCATTAGTGAATATTGAGCGTTTTTCTGCATTTTTCAGCATCTAAAATGTATTCCAAATGTACCCATGGTTACCACTTACTTAGAGATAAATTCTAAAAAGTTTCTTTATAGCATAAGTGGCAACAAGGTGTCAGGTTTTTGTGAGAATGGTTTGTTTGTTTTTCTTAGTCTTTATTAAGGCTTATTAAAGATTCAAAGTAGCTGAAAATCTCAATTTTTCTAACTTTTCTGGCTGTTACCATGGCAACCAAGACACATAGCAACGGAATTTTATTTGATATATGTTTCTGGTGTCAAGTAGTAATAATGGGCAAAGTTTCATTAAAATCGGTGACCATGCGTGGCAAAGAAGTTTAAGTGGTTACAGAGAATCGCTATTAAATATTAGATTTGGTCTTGTTGTTCTCAGTATTAAGATATTAATGAACACGAGTTTGGAATTATATTTACGTTTACGAAAACAAAAGACATCATGAAATTGAAAGGTTATTATGTACAACATCTACATTCGTATGCCTATATATCAGTAATAGTTAGGTTATTATATACAAAATCTACATTCGTAAGTCTATATATCAGAAATAGAGAGGTTATTATATACAACATCTACATTTGTATGTCTATATATCAGAAATAGAGAGGTTACTATGTACAACATCTACATTTGTATGTCTATATATCAGAATTAGAGAGTTATTATGTACATTTACATTCGTATGTCTATATATGAGAAATAGAGAGGTTACTATGTACAACATCTACATTCGTATGTCTATATATCAGAATAAGAGAGGTCATTATGTACATCTACATTCGTATGTCTTTATATCAGAAATAGAGAGATATGTTACAACATCTACATTCGTACGTCTAAACATAAGAAATAGAGAGGTTATTATTGACAACATCTACATTCGTATGTTTATATATCAGAAATAGAGAGTTATTATGTACATCTACATTCGTATGTTTATATATCAGAAATAGAGAGGTTACTATGTACAACACCTACATTATTATGTCTATATGTTAGAAATAGAGAGATTATTATGTACAACATCTACATTCGTATGTCTATATATCAGAAATAGAGAGGTTATTATTTACATCTACATTCGTATGTCTATATATCAGTAATAGAGAGGTTATTATGTACAACCTCTACATTTGTATGTCTATATATCAGAAATAGTTAGGTTATTATGTACAACATCTACATTCGTATGTCTATATATCAGAAATAGAGAGCTTATTATGTACAACATCTACATTCGTATGTCTATATATCAGAAATAGAGAGATTATTATGTACAACATCTACATTCGTATGTCTATATATCAGAAATAGACAGGTCACTATGTACAACATCAACATTCGTTTATCTATATATCAGAAATAGAGAGGTTATTTTGTCCAACATCCACATTTATATATATATATATATATATATATATATATATATATATATATATATATATATATATATATATATATATATATATATATATATATATATATATATATATATATATATATATATATATATATATATATATTATATATATATATATATATATATATATATATATATATATATATATATATATATATATATATATATATATATTAGAAATAGAGAGGTTATTATGTACAACATCTACATTCGTATGTCTATATATCAGAAATAGAGAGTTTATTATGTAAAAAATTTACATTCGTATGTCTATATATCAGAAATAGAGAGTTTTATTATGTAAAAAAATTACATTCGTATGTCTATATATCAGGCGAATCTTCTTTCTCCTTTACTCAGAATTCAGGGAGGCATTCAAGCTGTTTGATAAAGATGGCGATGGAACCATCACCACAAAAGAACTTGGTACCGTGATGAGATCACTGGGTCAGAATCCTACAGAGGCAGAACTTCAAGACATGGTCAATGAAGTAGACGAAGATGGTAACAAATAAGATTCTTGTCTTTAAAATCAATATTTTTTTCAGTTTAAATCAACATTATTTCAGTTTCAACCTTTACTTAACATGGTTTTTCAATAAATATTAATTTTGCTTCCATGATATATTCTGCATATAGTAAGAAGTAAGTAAACCATTCGTGTTAACTAATAAGCATAAGTTTATCTGATATAACATTCTTTGACAAGCAATAGTAGATAGAAATACCGGTAGTCTTTCTTCGTTATAAGGGAATGGTACAATAGACTTCGGCGAATTTGTGCAAATGATGTCTAGAAAGGTGCAGGACGCTGATACAGAGGCAGAACTACGGGAAGCATTCGCAGTGTTCGACAAAGATGGTGACGGATTTATAGGAGCAACAGAGCTTCTGCAAGTGATGTCACAACTGGGGGAAGAACTTACGTTAGAGGAAGTACATTCAATGATCCGCGAAGCCGACCAAGATGGAGACGGACGTATAAACTACAAAGGTATATCAATAAGTATAGCTTACTATAGGATGAAAGTCGCTGTCTTCATTGAGAGAGAGAGAGAGAGAGAGAGAGAGAGAGAGAGAGAATCTGTTTTGTTTTGAACATATTTAATATAATAAATCAAAAGGATTAGAAAAAAGTTCTTATAACTTACTATTTCCTCTCCGTAAATATTACAATATGTCATGCAAAATTAATGTTTTACATTTAAAACTGAACAGAGAGAATATGTTACTGTTGAACAGGATTCCTATATTTTCTTTCTATTTTCAGTTTATCCGAGTCACTTCTAGCATAATTACAAATTATATAAAAACAAGTTATCAGCCCTCTATGCAAATAAAACTTCCAATTCACAGTGAATTTACATCATTGTTTTGTCTTTTGCAGAGTTTGAAGCAATGATGACCCAAAGATAGCAAATCTATCATATTAATGCGGTTTTCCATTGTAAATACCTTATTTTACAAAGCATTGTAACGAAAAAATTGAGGAAGAATACACATACACGGTGTATTCGTCTGTTATATCCTGACTTGTTAATCGGAAGCATTTTATGTCATATGTCTGTGCTCAGACTCTGAAAGAGAAGATTGTAAATTTATGGTGTTTAGTGATGTATGATAAGAGAGAAATATTTTCATTGATGATGAGAAATGTGTAGTTTTGTTTTCTTATGATACTGTGGTTTTCATATTTTCCAAAGTTTTATAATAAAATGCAATTTCTTATATATATATAAGCCAAGAAGAAAGTCTGATAACAAACAAAACAAGGTTGATTTCGAGACATAATTAGTCAGATTGTGGATCTTAAAATAGATTAATCTTTCAAAATTTATTCTTTGCTCTGCTCATCCAAGGATCTAAATCCCTACCAGTTTATGACAATCAAGAATTGATTATGTCTCCTCCAAAGGGACGAGACACTTGCCCTCTCTTTTGATAAGGTCTCGATCGAGCAAACTAAATTAAGTGTCATGTTATTACCATACATGTGTGCGTTGACTGTTTTTTCGTACTTGTGGCCGGTGTCTGTGATTCAAAGACGATTCTACCATGTAGACGTCTTATTAGCATGACATATTTATTATAAGCATGGACAGAGTGTAAAATTTATATGAGTTTACATTACTAACCCCTTATTTTGCAATTTAAAAAAAGGCTGAATAAAATTGTTTTATGAAAAATGTGTGTTCTTTTATTTAATATTTCCTGATATTCAGAAGAAACAAGAATCTTAGCAGTTTTTTTCAGTTATTACGTAATAAAAGTCATCGTCCAATATTCCAAAAATAGAATGCAGAGGAGAACTGTCATATTCAATATCTCTTATAAATGGCAATTACCTAGAAGATTGCAATAAATTTCGAAATAACCACGAAGAAAAACCCTGAAATAGTTATTAAATCAGGGACTGAAGACTGCCGATGGCGAGTAGTCTTAGAAATGCACTTCAATGCCTGTTAAGTTCAGAGGACAAAAATCTTTCCACTAGGAAGTAACGTTTCTTCAACTCGGTCACTGAAGCAAATGAACATTTTTTCCAGTATAGAAGTGGGCATTCTAAGAAAGTTGATACTTTTTTGGACAAAACTTATGATTTAAACCTTCACCTCTTAAGAAAATAGAAAAGGACACGATCAAAGAAAGGAATTGTAAAGACTAGGTTTCTGTATTTGTTTATGCACTATTCGATATAATCAATATTAACTAAACTACCGATGACATGGAAGTATTGCAAGCCTAGTTAAATACATTTGGAGACTATTATTGAGTGGAGTTCTAAATTCAGGCAGGGCCAGACTATGTAAATAGTGCTTAACATTAACAGAAAACCCATATCTCTGCTCTCTCTTTTTTTATTTTACCACTTTGTCATCAAGGAGGCGTAGTGTTACAAAGGATCATATACACAAAGAACACAGGAATGGTAAGTGAATTAACATTAAACATTTATTAAAGAACACTATTCGAGTTTACTTTTCCATACGTTCACCAAATTGGAATCTTTTCACAAAAAATGTGAATATAAAACCTTGATTTTTTTTTTCATAAGAAAGTTTTACTGACACAATATGATATTGTAAAATCATTAAAATAATTCTTATGGTAAGTTATAAAGGATTTCTCTTTTTGAGATTTTAATTGCATATCTAGTCGAATATTACATTTCGTAAAAATATTAATGACTGTCATGGAGAGAAAAGATTTTTACACAATGTTTTGCTTTTAAAAAAGTGCTGAACAACCGTTGAACCATGAATGCAAAGTTTTTATTAGCTGTGAAAAATGTTCGTTTTAGGAAAGCCAAGCATGGCACAAAATCAGAAGCCAAAGCTACATAAAAAGGGATTTCATATACCATCAGTAAAATAAATATCGATTTTTGAAAGGTGCGATAAAATAATGACTGATGCTGCTTTAATAGGGACTCTATTCATCGCAATAGGGATTAAGGTCTTCAATAAATTGTTTTGTAATTAAGATTTTACCAACTAGTATGTGCCATCATTTTCTGTCCAGATTAGCAGACATTTTCTGTGATCAATATGTAATTATATAAATTTTTTCCCACAGGCCGACGAACTATCAGAAGAACAGATAGCAGGTTTGTTATATTTAGTAGCAGTAAAAGAAAATTACTGTCATCCAGTTCCGGGCTTCCAATGGTTCCAGAATCTAAGTTCCGGAAATTCGAGATTCAGTCGTCATTGTTCATTGAATTTCAATACTGGCAATTCAGGAAACCCTTTTACTGTCCGAAAACTAATGAAGAACTAACGGAGTGTTAGAGAATAAGAAAAAGGCAGGCAGTCGATATAATAATGACGTTCTTCTCATCACAGCACGCAATAATTACCATATTCATCATATATTTTAGCAGATTCAGACTTTAAAAATAGCAAATTATTCCACAGAGACTACTCAATGCAATTCTGTAATCTCCTGCGATGATTATAACTTTACTTCAGAAGTAGTCTTAAATCATTCTAATGATATATTTAAAAAGCACAAAAAACTCCTATAATTAATTCCCATTTCTAAAAATTAGGAAAAATGTGATCGATTGCGAGTGAAATACAGTGATCATTTGCCTTAACTTACAATTTACGGAAATCACTTTTCCATTTCTTAGCATCTAATAGTTATACCGAACTAATGTGGTATGACCATAGCTCAAAATGGTCACAATCAGGTAGAAAAGATACGATATTGATTATATCCCCCTCCCCCTGTGTCACCAAAGATTAATATTCTACTCTGCATGAGGATATCTAACATATGAATAACATTATACTGGGTGGCGTAACAATGAGAGGCCAACAAATATTATACTTGTTAACATATCTTATTGTAAACCCATTATTCAAGGGAATATTGCTTAATGTTTAATCTTAGAGAAGCACAGGTTTGTATTTTCCCGTAGCTGTTTGCCGAAGCATTTGCGTTTGTATTCTTTGTTTGCTAAGCTAGATCCGACGACAACCTTAATCATTTGCACCTGGTATTTGGAAATTGAATGCATTGATTTAAGTTATTGTGATATTTATATTAAGAAAACATATTGAGTCTTGTCAAGATCTAGTACTACTTCCTGAGCCTTATTTCATCTTTCAAACTTGTTTCAACTGTGAAAATATTGTTTGTATATACTCTGTCGAGCGTGATTGAGCTTCCTTTTTTCTTTTTCATTTATTTGTAAATTCATGGCGCAGATATATATATATATATATATATATATATATATATATATATATATATATATATATATATATATATATATATATATATATATATATATATATATATATATATATATATATATATATATATATATATTAGTATATCCTCATATATATCCTCATTGAATAATGGTACAGTCCTTCGAGATTATATTGGTATTCGTATATCTGGCATTTTTGGCATTTCTGTAACATCGATCAATGTATTTTTGAACTCAATCTTTACACTGCATCACAATCAATTTCAGAATTTAAGGAAGCGTTCAGCCTCTTCGACAAAGACGGAGATGGAACAATATGCTCCAAAGAGTTGGGGACAGTAATGAGGTCACTAGGTCAGAACCCAACGGAGGCCGAACTCCAAGACATGATCAACGAAGTAGACGCTGATGGTAGGTAAAAACTCTCAGAAAAGCCAAAGCTACTGATGACAGTAACTAAATCAATCTGTAATTTAAAAATTTCAAAAGTGTCTGACTAATTGGAAAATGGTTGTAAATAGTAAAGGAATAAAAAACCGGCACCACTAGCACTACCTAAAAAGAAAGCATCAAGGCCCAAATGGAATTAGAATACATGTACTAGTATAAAAAACTTCAATATAAGTTTTGACCCTTTTACAATTAATAAGAATGAAACTGGGATTATAAATAAAGTTCTTTGAGATTTACAAAAAATGTTAAATTATGGAATAAATATTCTTTTTTTCCAACAGCAAAACAAGCTATGTCTAAAAGGTGAACAGTATTTCTTTGGATTAATTACACTGAAACAGTAGGAAGTTCTATCGATTTTTGTAAAGAAGAATGTTGATTCTGTCCTATAATCTGATATTTAACTATCTGTCGACTCTGTGTCTGTTTGTCATTGTAATTAACACGGACATTAAGAAAAAAGAAAATTGACATGTTCTGTGGGAAAAAAAGAAGAAGATCCAAACAGTGCAAAAAGAAACTGAATAATCTACATTTAGAATGTAAGCACGAAAATATGTTCTTTGACGTGCAATGTCTCTTTGTATCATCATTATTAATTATCTAAAAGATTGAAGACAGAATACCAGTAAACCCCATTGATAATGAAATGCATAAATTTGATAGACACATTTCTGTGATGCGTCTTTGTATAATTGATATTTAAAAACCAACAACTTGATAATTGTTAAGTCGTATAATTTAATGAACAGGAAATGGCACAATAGACTTTCCCGAGTTTCTTACAATGATGTCACGAAAAATGAAAGACACAGATTCGGAAGAGGAATTACGAGAAGCCTTTAGAGTGTTCGATAAAGATGGGAACGGATTTATTAGCGCCGCCGAATTACGTCACGTGATGACAAATCTTGGCGAAAAACTCACAGATGAGGAAGTTGATGAGATGATTAGAGAAGCTGATATAGATGGTGATGGCCAGGTTAATTACGAAGGTATTTCAGTTATTAACCTTTACTTCATCCTATTCATTAGAACTTCTGTTCTATCGACTAGTTAATTTAATCACATTTTAAGTGTATATTTTTGTTGTTTGTTCTATTCAGGGGTGATAAAAGGACGAGCACATTACAAGAACCTAACAATACATGTACTTGATATATCGCACTGACACGACATAATCATGACGTGGGCAAGAATAAGAATAACATTCTGAATCAGAACCATATTGATGAATATCAGTAGGCATCCATCATCCTTACATTTTATTCAATAGAATTCAGGATGAATTAACAGTATTCTTGTTTTCTCTTCTTCCCTATTGATGAGAATTGTCCACTGAAGATTAATGGAAGATCAATAACAAACATACCTCTTCAAGTGAAGAACACAATCTAACAGTACACAAAGAAGTATTAATGATTTCATTTTCAGTAAATGAAAGTCTTAATTTTTAATTATTATAACACGCTAGTCTTACATGAGACATCGTTTATTCTTTTAATTTGTTTACAACAAGTATGTCGATGTGCTGTCTTGATATTTCAAATAGAGGTTAAAGCACATAATGGAAATTAGTTATCATATAGTTTATTTCATATTTGTATTCATATGGCTGGCAAATATGTCATATGTATGTTTTTGCATGCTAAATCAAGATAAATGCATTTAATTCACTTCGCGAATCATATTATTTAACTTGTTTCTATATCTCAGGAACAGGGCAGATATAATTTGCATCTTTTTTAAAATTTAAGAAATTCTATTCTGTAAATAAATCTTATTTCTTTTATTTTCAGAATTTGTTGGAATGATGACAACAAAATAGTTTGTTCCCTCTTTCTTTCCTTTTACCTACATTCTTTACGTATTCGGAGACAATATAGAAGAGAAGAACTCTGCCAAAAATTGAAGAGAAAATGTTTTTCAGAAATGATCTCATTCAACACAGTTTTGTATGTTCTTTGTTGCTCATTTTCGAATCAGAAACCATCAAAGTAAGGGAGGGAAGAACTCTGCGTAGTATATCTATCTTAGGCGATCGTTGTTTTTTTCAGGATGTTTTATATTGGTGAATGTTCTATTATTAACGTATTTTCATTAAATAGTCAAATAATCTGGTTTAATTTTATTTCTCAAGATATCAAATTAAGGTCAGATGACACGTTCCTAGAAAATATATAATTTTTCTCAAGAATTTGTCATTGAAGTTTAACTTCCTAAATAAGTTTCCTCACTAAAAATTAAGGTACCTTACCAGGCATTTGGGCAAGATACAAGCACAGGCACTTGGGGTATGGACCCCCCCTCCCCTTTTTCCATTTTTTTTTCTTTTTAATTCTGGGGTCCAGTCACCTTTTCCCTATTTTTGTATTCTAATATGCACTATATATCATCAATAATGCAACTCTTTTGTTTCTATCAGCTGTTTTTAAATATATCGTTTTCTGCTGATACATAAAAAGAGAGAAGGCTTGCAACTCTTTTCTCATCGTCTGCCTCACCTCGCTTAAACTTCGCTTGATCATTTATCTAAAGCATAAGACATAAGCGGAAGTGCCCGGTATTTTCTGGCGTCATCATTAAGTGTAATGTCATTCGGAACATTAAATGCGAGAGGGAAAAATCCCGAATTTTCTCTTCATATTACATGTAACGGTAAGTTGAAGTTCTGTGTATAACAAGATAACTGTAACTATCATGTTCTGATGGATGAAGATTAACATTTTACATACGACATAGACAACCAAATTTCACAATATTTTTAATACAAAGCCTGGATTTTTTTTTTAAATGTAGAACATTTGTAAAGTTAGAGTTACCGTTATTGCACTTCCGTCCCAGCTGGTGCACATCAACAAAATTTACCCTAAATGTGGGTGATTTAATCGAAATATTTACAAATCGGGGGCACATAAAAATTAAATGGAAATATGAAAAGGAAGAAGAATGTGTAACAAATTTATTGACATATGCATATTTCATGTGTTCTTATGCTTTAGATAAATAATTAATCAGGCGAAGTTTAAGCGAGGTGAGGCAGACAATGAGAAAAGAGTTGCAAGCCTTCTCTCTTTTTATGTATCAGTCGAAAACGATATATTTAAAAACAGCTGATAGAAACAAAAGAGTTGCATTATTGATAATATATAGTGCATATTAGAATACAGAAATAGGGAAAAGGTGACTGGACCCCAGATTTAAAAAGAAAAAAAATGGAAAAAGGGGGTGGGGGTGGGAGGTCCATACCCCAAGTGCCTGTGGATACAAGAGGGCGATATTTCTTATATAATCCTTATGGGTAATCTTTTGAATTGCCAAAGTCACAATTTTTGGTGTACTTATTTTTTTTAACATATTGAAAACTATTCAGAAATCACAAGAGAATGACAATTATGAATAATTTTTGATATAATAACAAGGTATACAAAATATATATCGTCTGACCTTAAGCTAAGAAGAACTCACATGCAAATATTTACATTTGCTGTGTATTTCTACTAAGCCAACTGTGAAATTGATTTGAAAGTCATTTTTGTGTACACTCACGCGTAGAAATATACACGGTGAAACTCGCTCTAAAGTGACGTCACAACGAGGCTACAGAGAGACGTAAATAAAAATGTAACGATATAGGACAGCAAGAAATTCAAATATTGAGTATATTATTGGTGCTTTTAAAATTCTAAAATGTAAATATAAGGAATGTTTTTAAGTTTAGTGTGAATTATTGGTTTGTAAATCACACAGACTTGCACGTAGGCATATTTTTCATGAAGCGCTGGCTCGCTTCATGAAATATGCCTACGTGACAAGACTGTGTGATTTACACACAAATAACTCACACAAAACTTAAAAACATTCCTTAAATAACTTATAAATTTTCTTAGATTACTTGAATATTATAAGTATCAAGTATCTTTTAAATCACCTATGGTGAATATGATAAAAGTGTGTAGGCGTTGGCACGATAAAGAAATTTCACTGTTCAATGACCCTGAGTGCCAAGTATAGGTCTAAACTTGAAACCCTTCACCGGTATATGGTGACGTCTAGAGCTATATGAGTGAAAAATTCTCGAATGGGACGTAAAGCAACATACAATTAATCAATCTTATATTGTGCATACCTGTTTACTATTCAAAACTGGAACATCGATAATGAAATGTATGCAAAAACCTATATATCCGTACCCGTTTACTTTAACACAATATATATATATATATATATATATATATATATATATATATATATATATATATATATATATATATCTTATTTTATTTTTTTACTGTTCGTGTCGTTGGTCATTTTTAGTGCTTTATATAAATTTCCATCCGTGACCTTGTATCTACTTAGTAGATCCGACACTTAGGATATACAGTGTTGTATTTTATGATATGATAATAGCTCAGAATTACAATAAAATTATGACACATTAATTTACATCATTATTATTTAGCTACGAGTCTTGTCAATACATGCAACATATATGACAAAATCTAATAGTGCAGCAGTACGTGACCTTGAGATAATACATTTTTAAAGTTAACTGATTTGCAACAAACGCAATCGTTTGAAACAGATACCGTTAGATGGCTCCTTTATTATCAATGACGAATAAGGTGGAATGCCTCCAAATTTAAACTACCAGAAAAACCGGACAAAGGCCTAGCGATCTTCTTTCTGATATTCTATTAGTAGTTAGATCAACTCCAACATGGTAAGTCAAATTTTCGAAGCAATTGTAATGATTTAAGAAATAGTTGCAGTAAATTAATAATTGATCTTTAAATATGTTATACAACCGAAAATATACAGATATTGCCAAGAAATGGCATCAAATACTCCATGCTGTACAGTAGCATCGTCAAAAAAATGGAATCCCGTGTAAAGTATTGTACAGTGTCTTACAACACTTTCAGGAATTTCTTACTAATGAAAGCGAATTAACATTTTCTTAATAAAATAAACAATTCATACTTACTAAAATTCATTTAATACTATAAAAAAGTAATAATGATATATTCATTCTATGCATAAAAACAACATTTAGAATATTTGCGCAGTGGCATACAGTTACTAGCTAGATTTTAAAGATACTCTTGATAAATACACATTTATTAATTCAAATTCTATCATCTCTTACCTAAGGCAGAGCAACTAACAGAGGAACAAATAGCAGGTAAGCAATACCTGAAAAATAAGGAATAGAAGAAGGTAAAGCCACATTATGGTACAAATGCACGATAACAAAACTTCAATGCAGATGAATAGATGCCAGTTTTTGCGAGGTATACGATGTTTCTCTCGTGTTAAATATCTGATAAAAGATAAACTTGCCTATATAATGAAATTTTTGTTTGTGAATGCAGTGTGCAGACATACATGTTTATAAATATCAATTTAGACAACCTACGCATAGTTCCTGGTAAAGACATAAAACTTATTATAGAGATGCTGACTGCTGTTATAGGGTAGTTTACTGCCTAGTCAATTTATGAAAGTAATGAAATATTTAAAGATGATCTTAATAGGAAATAGATATAATATCGGTGCTACTTGAAATTGATTAGAGGTTGAAGTATTTATTATGTTATTTTAGGTATTGTTCTTAAAATAAATAATTTCCCTTTTTGGATAAATTTTACAAAGATTTGGTATTTTCTTGAAGATAATGACACTTATCAATGTCTTGCTTTTAGAATTTAAAGAAGCATTTAGTTTATTTGACAAAGATGGTGATGGAACAATTAGTAGTAAGGAACTAGGAACTGTAATGAGGTCACTAGGTCAAAACCCCACTGAAGCCGAACTTCAGGACATGGTCAACGAAGTGGATGCTGACGGTAATGATTCTGATTTTATCACTGCATGTATCAAATTTAATTATATCAACCTAAAACTTTGTATAAATCCATCAGAATCTAGCTAATGGGTTTGTATTTATACATTCAAATTATGGGCAGTACAAAGAATGCTTACGTTATAGATATAAGATACAATTGATTAACATTTTAGGGAATGGTACAATAGATTTTCCCGAATTTTTAACAATGATGGCTAGGAAAATGAAAGACGAAGACTCAGAAGAAGAATTAAGAGAAGCGTTCAAGGTGTTCGACAAAGACGGAAGTGGCGACATTAGCGCCGCTGAATTACGTCACGTTATGACTAGTCTTGGAGAAAAACTAACAGACGAGGAGGTGGACGAGATGATCCGAGAAGCTGATGTTGATGGTGATGGAAAAGTGAATTATGAAGGTACCCTATTACATGGTGCCGTAATTAGCCTAAAAACACCCTCTTTATTGATTTTTTTATTATGCGTTAGGTAAAAAAAAAAAGGCAAAGAAATTAAAAAAAACAACCACAAAACAACAATAATAACAGCAACAACAACAACAATAGAAAATGATAAAGAAATTATTACAATGTTATGATAAATTTGGATAATCTTCACTTTGCATTTCTTTGTAGAATTCGTTACAATGATGACACAGAAGTAGCGAAAGACAACCTGGAAACAAATGGAACATCGTCTGAATGAAACTCATATAATTCATTTCAAGCCAATTTATGTCATGAATCATATTTGTACCTACCTGATATTGTTGCAAAATGAAATTTCTTTAATATCAGAAATTTATTTTAATCTACTTGATAAACTGGAAAAGAAAGACAATAAACCAAATTCCACAAGCACTTTGAATTTCATTTTATACAAAATGTCTTGTATAATGAACAATCTATGGGGTTTCCTTATTTTTTTAAAACCAAAAACAGCAAATTTAAGAAATAATTCTGATATTAGGTTTTAGATTTGATAAAAAAAAAAATGAAAATGAGAGCCTAGATCAAATTTGAGCAGTGCAATGTCAAGAATTGAAATTTTTGATTTCTGAGTCAAAACTAGAAAATGTTGAGTACTAGTTTTTTAACGAGTTTCTTGTCAGATGATTTTTCATCTTCAAACATGCTGCGAGGCTTTATTACTCGAAAATGAGTACCAAGTTGATAAATTAGTTCTTTCTGACTACATATTTTCATTTTAGGACAAAACATATCCCATTTTGAGAAACAAATGAAGAAAGCTGGATCCAAAATTACTTTCAAATTGACAGGAATATTAATTATATTATGACATGAGAATGAAAGATATTTTTAGTAATGAATGTTTTAAATTCTCATATACAGAGAGGATTTGTTTCATGTTAATTTTCTTTGCTTGCTATTATGAATAGCAGTACTTGTATGCAGCTGAGTGCAAGTTATGTATAATTTTTCTGTAAATCTGCAAAACAGTATCTAAAATAACTTTAGTAAACTCTATCATTTGTGAAATCTTTCTTTCCAAAGTATATTTGTAAAGAGAGATAACTCTTCAAAATGTTTTATTATGTGTATGAAATTATGTCTCAAACACATGAACCAGTATTTACAGTTGTTGTTCTTTTATCGAATATTTCGTACATGATTTGAAGTTTCTAGACAAAATTAGGTAAAAGAAGTGTTTTAAGCTTATCTAAAAAAAATTGATTTTTATATCCAGCTTTAGGGTCTTTTGGAGATGAAAGAAACTTTACAAAATTCGATTTTATCGGTACAAATTCAGACTTTTTTACTTAACACTAGCAACAACCTTCCCATGTTATAAAGTTACACGTAATAAACGCATGTCGACATGAATAAGAAGCATGTCGACATGATTATGTCGCCTGTCAAATGAATTAACTTGTTCGTTGACATAAGTCGCATGTCAACATCAATAGGCTTCATCTTACATGAATGATATCAGATTATAAGTAATTTTAGTTGATTTACCCATATTATATAAAAATCCGATTTGTAACTTGCATATAAACTTATTATTGTGCATGTAAAATTGTAGATACATTTATCTTGCATATTAACAAACTTTTATATCATGTTGATATAAGTTATATTATATCTAGGGTAGAAACATACTACCATAGTTATTAGAAATCATTTAAGTCCAAATTAATCAAATTGTGATCAAAACCGCTATCTCCACCGTTTAACAAGTCCCGATAGCTCATTCAATTTTCCTTTACAATCGTTTAAAACGAGACATTGTGTATGGAAGTTTAATTCTTAATCTCTCTAATACTATTAGATTTTCTATTTTTATAAATATTTTGGTTAAGTTTTCATCATTTGGAACCAAATTTCCACCCACGTTACATGCATATGAACCACAATAACTCGACTGAGTTATCCCGTTCCACACGTGTTAAATTCTATACTTAATTAATTAGTAATGGTTAAATATCTATTTGGCATACAGTACAATAGATTCTATACAAGTTATTGATCCCGAATATAAAGAGTCCTGATCACTAATGCTTCTCCACTACCCCAACGCGTCATGTATTGTTTCCTAACAGTCTATATACCATTTTTAAAATTCGTCGTATTAGTATGTACCTAAACACACCGTTTCTCCTCATGTAAACATGACTTAGGCCGGAAACCATCGCTAATGCAATTATTAATTCCATTAAAAGGAATAACTCGCCAATCATGGTTTGTATAGATTATTCTATTATTCTCTAAAATTCGATTCTTGTGAAGCGGTAGTTGTACACTTATTCATTTTACGCGAACAGCAAATATATACCTCTCATTATTGATTCAATTCAATGGATTTTTACTCCAGTAAAATTTTAGTTAGGTTCACAGCCTTAAGGCCATTCATTGAACAGCTTATAAATGTTTATTTATTGAGGAAAGAAAACACTTTTCACGTCAGAATGAATTGCATATGAATACAAAAATGCAAGCGGCAAGGCGCGATAAGATTCAATAATTATATGTTTATTATTGTGTAATTTCCTCCCGTTTTGAGCTTTCTTTAATATTTCTGCAATGGAAGACTCTGAGGTTGCGGTAAGGATTTTTTAAAATTAAAACTTTGTCAGAAAATTCAAATGATTTTTTCAATTGTTTAATATATCGCTAGCTACCACAATGAATTTACAAATATTTTTTCAAGAAGCAGTTGATTGATCTCTGTTTATATTTTAAAGTTTAATAAATATAATCGAAGATCTTGAAATAAATCATTTACGACATGCATCATAATTAAATATTTAAACTTATCGGATGAATTATTTGTGGCATCCATTTTAAATATAAACTTTTAAAGTCCGTGATGCCTACAATTCTTACTGCAAAGAATATCAAAACTCTAATAAAGACTGGCTGCAATATCGTATTTGAATTGTTATTTTTATTGTTTTCATTACTGAAAATATTACTTTAAATCAACTTTAAATGATAGTATAAATGACACTATGTAATTATTAAAAGATATTTGATGAGAAACGCAACAGAATGCATTTGTAATTAATTTTTTATCAGCATGTACTAAAATAGTACTTTATTGGCTTCTTTGTCATCTATTACTATTAATAATTGCCGCATATATAATCATGAACAAAATACAAAACATTTAACTTTACTACGTAGCACTAGTTTTGAATAAAAGATGCTTGATTTTACAGAACGCCGAAGATACAGAGATATTGGAGAACTTGACAGAGGAGCAGATCGAGGGTAGGGGATTTCTTCTGTGTAGAATTCACATGTCAGTTCCACGTCTATGTCATAAGCAGATTTACCGTTGTACATTGAAGTTAGCCGAGTAAAACATTACAATAATATGGTCTCAAATCTTTTTTAAATGCTAAATAATAAGCTTATGTTGAGTTTTTTTTCTTTATTCGAGTCAAATAAGGATTTGTCTGACAAGGAAAAGTTCAGAAGACTCGTGTACTTTATCAACAGTTAAATACATAGTAAAGTTATTTATTTTTTCGAATTTCATTTGAGACCAGATGTTGTGTAATCCATGACTTAATTAGTTTAAGTCTTTATTCTCATCCAATATATCCCTTTATACAGTATGCAGAATTATGATAATCTAAACCTCTAAGATTGCAATAAAGCCCACTTTATACCCATAACCAGTATAAGCCATTGTGAATTATCTTAATTTATAAACTTGTTACACTTCTTTTATTCTTCACATAAAATGTTTTGTTTCTGTCCATCTTAATTCCACTGGCAAAAAAATCTTTTAACATTCACCAAAGTAAATACTATTTGATCATTTCGAAACGTTGGAGCTTGTATTTCTAACTTCAATGATAATCCCCTTTGATTGGCAGACTCAACCTTTAGTAAGTTACATGTACATCCTACATAAGTTAGATTATTATAGAATTAAGAAGAATTCATTATTGACAAATATGCTCGATTGCACTGAAGTTTTCTTATTTGGTCCCTTTGTTAGGCATGTGAGCAACATACTTAAGAGTTCTGCCATAACAGTTGCTGACATATATTGAACCATTTCAAACTTGATGACCATCTTTGCAGGGTATAACTTTTGGCCACCTTTATTTGTAATTATTCTAATATGAATGGAATTATGTTTTAATAATATATTTAGAATATATAAAATACACGGAAACCCTTAATTAAAAGTTAAATTAACTTGGAGGGACGGATGGGAGTAGGGGATATATATATATATATATATATATATATATATATATATATATATATATATATATATATATATATATACAATAAACCTCTTACACATAATTAAATGTAAAAGTCCATAAAGAGCTAACTAGTGTGTCACGTACATAGGAAACATTGTTTTCTGTGACAATTATCAAGACAATTTAATAAAAGGATAACATTCTTAGTGCCCTGACCTAAAAATGAATGAGTAGCTAATAATGGGAATGTTTGTCTTTCCTCAGAGACATCTGGCTAAATATCTCTTCAAGACACTTTCAGTTCGCATTTGAAAATTTGGTTTGTGTTTTCTTTCAATTTGATTTTTTTCAAAACATAGCCAAGGAAAATAAATGCACATTGTTGTTTTTAAGATATAACTCGTTGAATAATGTAGCAAACTTTTTTTCAGAATTTAAAGAGGCGTTTCGTCTCTTTGATAAAGATGGATCGGGGACAATATCCAACGATGAGTTAGGGACAGTTATGAGGTCTCTTGGTCAAAACCCATCTGACCAGGAACTCACAGACCTTGTAGAGGAAGTCGATATTGATGGTTAGTGGAACAGAGACAATGATTTTAACCTCACAAAATACCATTCTGTTATTTTTATGCCCCCTGAAATAAAAGATTTGGGAGCATATATAGATTTTGCCCCATCCGTCCGTCTGTCTGTCTAGCTGTCCGTTTGTCCTTAAAAACCTTCCCAAAGCTTTTCATTGGTTGGAGCTGTGGCTTTTATATTTCACATGCATATTTCGTAAAGACCTTTCTTACGATGCCAACAATTTTGACCCATTGACCTTGACCTTGGGGTTTTACCTACTTTTGAAAAACTTTGACCTTGGCCAGTTGGTACTAGGGCTTTCATATTTCATGTTTATTTCTGGTAACAAGTCCTTCCCTTGGGTGTCAACAGTTTTGACCCTTTGACCTTGACCTCAGAGTTTGATATACTTTTGAAAAAACTTTAACCTTGCCCATACTTTTGAACAGTTGGTGCAAGGGCTTTCATATTTCACATGTGTATT